CAATGCCTCTACAAGTGAGACACCTCACATTTGAATTGTTTCGAGCTTAGTCCTGCTTAGAGAAAGGAGGAATCATTTAGTGATCTCTTAATGGTAGGGCTGAACCAGAGGTTGTCACTGACACTAGGTTAAGGTGCATAGGGTGAGTGGGGAAAGGAAAAACCGAGGGCAGGAACTGAGAGTGACAAGGGCCGCAGGATAAAGGGAGGATACCTGAAAGGCAGGAAGCCTCCAACAGTCATGTGGATGAGAGTAGACTTGTACCATGGTTGAGGTGGGATTTCCCGAGCAATATTCTTGGTGCGACAAGGTGCATCGAAGGGGCTAGCATTGTTCTTCCCGAAGATACCTCCAATGACAGTGAGAGGAAAGCCCACCAGCAGCCAAACAGTCAAAAGCAGCAGGATGGTGGTGGCTGGTAGAGCCTGAGTCGAACCGTTGGCCCAGTGTACTGAGTTCACCACACTCCACGTCAGGAAGAAAGGCACTGCAAGGATGGGCCCCGAGAGGAAGGAGGGTCAGCACGAGGCACTATGCCCCTGGGGCACCCACTCGGACTAGGTCTAAAGGGGAGAGGGGTGAAAAAATCCTGCTCCCAGGTAGGTGCCAGCCTTTCACATCCCACTTCTTTTAAATATTTTATTTATTTATTTTTAGATTGGATGGAAGGGGGAAAGAGTGTGAGAGAAACATCAATGTGTGGTTGCCTCCCATGTGTCCCCTACTGGGGACCTGGCCTGCCACTCAGGCATACACCCTGACTGGGAATCGAACCAGTGACCCGTCGCTTCACAGGCCCATGCTCCATCCACTGAGCTACACCAGCCAGGGTACACACCCCACTTCTTATTCCTTATCTTACTGATACCCCTCCCCTATCCATTAGCTTTACACCCTTGTCTGGTGTGGCTCAGTGGATTGAGCACCAGCCTGAGAACCAAAGGGTCGCTGGTTCGATTCCCAGTTAGGGCACGTGCCTGGGTTGCAGGCCAGGTCCCTGGATGGAGGCACATGAGAGGCAACCACACACTGATGTTTCTCTCACTCTCTTCCTCCCTCCCTTCCCCTTTCTCTAAAAATAAGTAAATAAAATCTTTTGGGGAAAAAAAAGAAAGCAGCTTTACATAAGACCTAAGACTGACAGAAATCCACCTGCCTCCAAGGGCCTGACCTGCTGAGGTATCAATGATTCCTAGCATAAAACATTCCTTTGGATTAGGTCCTGTTTTCAGAAAACCTCAGTTCAACCTTAAATGTGATGGAATATAAATCAGACCCTTAGCTTTGGAACATGAAATGTTTAGAATGGCAACTACTACTGCCTTTGAAAGGACAAGCCAGCTTAAAGGCTAAAGTGGAGTAGCCCACTTCAAAAACAAGAAAACTAAAAAGAAAAGGGCAAGGGGAATACCTAAAAATAAACCTGAGTGTTATTTCAGTGTAATGGTTGAGAATACAGGCTCTAGAGTCGAACTGCCTGGGTCTAAAGCCTGGCTCACTACTTTTTAGGAGGATGTAATCTTGGGCAAGTTACTTAACTAGTCTAAAATTCCACTTCATCTGTAAAATGGGGACAATCTCACCTACTTCATATTGTTGTTATAAGGATCAAATGAGATGAAGGCATGTTGAGCACTAACTATGCTGCCTAGTACACTTTAAGGGCTTAATAATTTTTAACTATGCAAAATAAATGCATTCTTATCTTTTGAATGGTTTTCTTACTGTTTCCTTTGCCGATTTTCATTCCCTTGAAGCCTCACTCTGACTCTATCCCAGGTTCTATGACGCGCCCACCATGGAAAGGCCGGTTCTCACCAGAGAAGAGACTGGTGGTAAGAATGATGTTCCACACCCAACGCTCGCCTCCGATCTGCCGGTAGAAGTGGCTGGACACATAGCCAGAGATGCAGCAGGTCAGGGCATACAACAAGATGGCTGCCGAGTTAATGGCCCCGTGACGGTGCACATTGAACATGCCCAGCAGCGCCATGACAATAATGCCTGCAGGGTGGTAGTGGGAAATCTGCATTAGGTCTCATCTATTCCTCTGGCAACTTCAGAGGAATCAGCTTCCTCCTTTCAGACCCAAGGCCTCCAGCAAAACACTATCCCCCAATCTGTCCAGAAAACTCACAATTAGAATATATACATCCTTGCTGGAGCCACCCCACCCTTAGTTCTGCCCCTCACCTTGGACAGAGCTGCAGATCTTTTCTGAACAAATCACCTACTTACATTTAACCCTTGAGAAAAATCCCTGGTTAATTTGTATCACCTCACCAGTGCCAAGGGCCAGGAACTGGGCACCCACGCCAAGCACAGCACAGAGCAGACCACGGTATGGAGGGAAACGGAAGACATCGGTATGGATGATTTTCCAGCCATTGTCACCTTGGTCAAAGTCATCACCAGAACCTGCAGAGGTTGTCTCCTCATCCAAGTTGTACCGAGCCAGGTCATTCCGAAGCACACGCATGAGAATGACAGCCACAAAACCCACCAGTAAAAATACAAGCACCATGGAATTGATGATGGACAACCAATGAATTTCCAGTGTTCGGGGAAAGAAACCACCATCATCACCACGGCGCCTGTCACTCCGACGCTCCACTGAAGTCTCAGACCAGCGCACACTGTAGGTGTGGGTGAGGCCTAGGAACTCATCAGGTCGTAACCCGTCTAGACTATGGGGCTTGACATCCCGCACTGAGACATTGGCAAATATAATTCGATCTCCATGGAATTCCAGGTGGAAGTCCAGATGGGTCCAGAGTCCTATCTTGTGGCTGTGAGGCAGGAAGCCACTCTCCTCCATGTAGCCCACAAAGCCACGGAGTGGCAAGTCGTCCACCACGAATTCAAAATAATACAATTCCTCGATGGCCTGGCGCAGCTGTTCTACCTACAAAGAACAAGTCAGGAATCAGACAAGGCCTCCCTGGTCACAGGGTTAGAGCAGGGTTACTCAACTTTGGCACTGCTGACATTTGGGGCTAGATCACTTACTGTTGGGGGAATGGCCCTTCCCTGGCTTCTTCTCACTAGAGTAGCACCCCTTAATAGTGACAATCAAAAATATCTCCAAGCAGTGCAAAATGTCTCTTGGGAGACAAAACTGCTCCTTGTCCAAAACTACTGGGTTAGACCCTACTTACTATGTTGGGTTTCTCAAAAAAAAGTTTGATAGGGTTACAACCTAGAAAAAGGAGAGGTATAAGAAGGTCTAAAGTTGATTAAGGAAAGGTGCCCTAATATAAGATTTGCTAGTGAAAATAGCATGACAGGGAAGATTAGGCAGAGTGTAAAGGAGCCAGTTAAGGGCCAAGAGGGAAGTGTGGAAGGAAATAACTATGCAGCATTGAGTTGGGAGCTTATTACCAGCAGGGAAGCTTGGAATCAGGAGTCTCAGGCTCTTATATCAGCTCTGCAATTTGCTATCCATGAAGTCTTGAAAAAGTTACCTTTGAGCAAGTATGTTTCTTCATCAACTGAATGCAAATAATGCCACCTGCCCTGCCTGCCACATGTAGTTGAATCAAGGCAAATAGTTTCCATAAAGACTCTTTGAAAACCATACATATGATGCACTGTTATTAGTCCCTGGGAGGGAGGAATAAGTTCTAGCCAATGTAGAGAGGCTGACCTGTGCAGGACTGAGCTGCATGTGGCACAGAATTCTTCTTTCCACATTCTCCCGAAAGCGAATCTCATACAAAGACTCAGCCATTCGGTCACCATCCAGCACTTCACCCAGGCTAAGGCTTTTGTGACGAATCTTCTCAGGAGAGCAGACTGGAAGCTGATAGTAGTGGTAAGTCTCCTGAGGGTTATGGTAGGGTCCCACTTTGTTGACATATAGAATGACAGGATCGCCAGCCTTGTAGTGTGTCACACCTTCCACCCTTGGCTCATGGCCTGTGCTCAGCAGCAGCGTCAGGAATGGCAGCCACTGACAGCTCCAACTTCGAGGGTGTCCTAGGACTGTCATCCTTAAGGCAGCGGAACCTGTTTGGGGGAGTCCTGAGGTTACGGAAACCAGGGATCAACTCATAACACCCCAGGTCAAGTCTTTTGAACTGACTGAACTCAATGACTGCAATTCCTCTCCCCTTGGCCTCTCCGACCCTCCCTCAAGTAGCCACCTCCTGACCCCCACACCACATCACGTTTGTATCCCGAAGACTGGGCTGCACCTCTCCTCTTAGCCTCCACCCGGGTTCCCCTTGCTCTCAGTCTGTTTGTCCCAAACCTCCCCGCAAGCGCGCGCCTCATCCCGTTGCCATGACAACACCACGCGGCTTCGCACCTCCTGCACCTTCCCGCTGCAGACCTGGGGTCCAAACCGTGCGGGAAGGGCTGGCGGAGGCAGCGCCAGAGGCCTCTGCAGCCCCGGAGCTGCCCTTGGGCTCCAGCTGGGGTCTCCCCCAGAGCGGCGCGCTGGCGGCGGCCTGTTGAGGACCTGACGACCGACCTCCATGGGGTGGGCCGCCGCTGTGCCTGATTGTAGAAACTGAAGTTACACCACGAGGGATCCCTGCGCTCGGTTCAGTGAAGTGGACGCCTATGAGCTTTGTACAGCTGGAGGCCCAGTCCAGCTCCGGAGCCCACACAAGGCTCAGCGAGCCCCTTTCCCGCCGGGAGACCTCCCGGCAATCGGGAGAGCTGCCCAGGCCACGTCAGTCTTACCACTTCCGCCCTCCCCGGCTGTGTCTTCTGCCCCGCGAGAAGCTTCTTCTTCTTAGACCTAGAGGGGACCGTGGCCCGGCTGATGGTTCCCTGGGTGGGAGTCTGCGCTGGAGGCCTGGCTACAGGCATGCAGACACCTTTTCGGTCGAAAAGATTCGTCTCCGGGTCGTCTCTCTATCCCCGGGAAGGTTTGGGGCGGAGACCTTGAGCAGTTCCTGCCGCGCGCGCACCCAGCGACTGTCCAGGACCGGGAACCCGGGCGGTGGCCGTGCCCGTATCTAGTGGACGCCCCGAAGTGTTTGCTCCCTGCACCAATGGGACGCGCCACGGACTGCTGAGGGCGAGACCTGAGCAGTTCGTGATCCCCAACCCGGGCCGGGGTGAAGCTTTGAGCATCACTGTGCTAGGACGAGGGCACAGCCCGTACAGGGGTCTGTATCCCATCTTAACTCCTACGTGTCATGAAATGGTCTACCGCCAAAAAACAAATACGTAAATAAAATATCTCCTTGAGGCTGTATTGGAGGCCTCTCTGGCTGTATAACGGCCGTTCTATGGCCGACGATAGGCGAGCCTGAGCGAGGTCTGATGTACAAGCACACAGGAGATAGGGTGTCTGCCCTTTCACCCTGTAAATTGGGCAGCCTGACTGTTAATTGCAGGTAAAGAATCTTGCCATGCGTTCGTCTTTTTCCTGTTTTTGTTTTTATTTATGTTTATGTATTTGGACTTTTAATTTTGTATTGCAGATTATTCTGGAAAAGTTTACCTTTGCTTGTCTCAGCTCTATTTTAAGGGAAGCTGCCTTTAGGGGAGTTCCTCTGGAGAGCAGACCCAAGGGCAGTGACTTTCCTTTGGCCACCTGGGAGCAAAATGTAAGGAAGCTGGAAGTCACAAGTGGTTTCTGGCCTGAGAAGTCCACTTAGCTACATGTGCTCTCTCTGACCCAGTCCTCTCTGAAGGAAATGAAGTTCCAGGAAGTAGAGGGTTGAGTTTTTTAGACAGTGAATTTAGTGATTTAAAAAGTAGCAAGCCCTGGTGGGGTGGTTTAGTTAGTTAGAGCGTCCTCCCCTACACCAAGAAGACCAAGAAGTTGTAGGTTCAATTCCCAGTCTGTGGATGGGAGGCAACTGATTGATGTCTCTCTCCTGCCCCCTCTAAAATCAGTAAACATTCTCTGGTGAAGATTTTTTAATTTTATTTTATTTTTAAAAGGTTTTATTTAGTTTTAGAGAGAGGGGAAGGGGGGGTGAAAGGGAGAGAAACATCAATTTGTGGTTGCTCCTCATGCACCCCCTACTGGGGACCTGGCCTGCAACTCAAGTATGTACCCTGACTGGGAATCCTACTGGCAACTGTTGGCAGGCCTGTGCTCAATCCACTGAGCTACACCAGCCAAGGCTGAAAAAAAAATTTTTTTAAGTAGCTTAGAATGGCTTTGGATAGTCTAAGTGACAGCCACCCTGTCTGTAAAGCCAGAAACCTGGGCCTCTTTCTCATTACCACTACTCCCCAGATCAGTGCCACCAAGCCCTTTATGCTTATTTCCTGAATATCTTCCAAATACCTGCCCTCCATGGTTGATTTGTTCAGGTCCGTCCTCCCACCTAAATTACTGTGACAGCCACTGTGCTAGTCTCTTTGTCATCTCCCACCTTGGATCTATACCCACACTGCTGCTACAAGAATGAATATATACACACACTAAAGGTGTCTTTTCCTGCAACTGGTTCTCAAGTCTTCATGTGTATTAGATTCAGTGAACAGCTTATGAAAAACAGATACCTGAGTACTAGTAAATCAGGATGTTGGGGGCATGGCTGACTGGGCATCAGTATTTTTTAACAAGCTCTGATTTCAATGCATACCAAAACCTGACCATGAGTACATACCATAAAGTCAAAAAAACTGGCACGTGAGGTCTCTCAGGCCTGGATCTTAATGATTTCTTTAGGTACATTTTCCTTCTGGAATCCTATCTTTTTACTTTAAATATATTTTATTGATTATGCTATTACAGTTGTCCCATTTCCCCCCCTTCACTCCCCTCCACCTTGCACGCCCCCCCTTTAGTTCATGTCCATGTGTCATACTTATAAGTTCTTTAGCTTCTACATTTCCCACACTATTTTACCCTCCCCCTCTCTTTTTCTACCTACCATCTATACCACTTATTCTCTGTACCTTTTCCCCCTCTCTCCTTTTACTCCCTTGTTGCTAACCCTCCATGTGATCTCTATTTCTGTGATTCTGTTCCTGTTCTAGTTGTTTGCTTAGTTTGTTTTTGTTTTAGGTGTGGTTGTTAATAATCGTGAGTTTGCTGTCATTTTACTATACATATCTTTTATGTTCTTTTTCTTAGATAAGTCCCTTTAACATTTCATATAACAAGGGCTTGGCGATGATGAACTCCTTTAACTTGACCTTATCGAGAAGCACTTTATCTGCCCTTCCATTCTAAATGGAAGTTTTGTTGGATAGAGCAATCTTTTTTTAAATTTTTTAGACTTTATTTATTTATGTTTAGAGGGGAAGGGAAGAAGAGAGGGAGAGAAACAGCAATGTATTGTTGCCTCCAGTGTGTCCCCTGCTGGGAACTGGCCTGCAACCCAGGCATGTGCCCTGACTGGGAACCGCGCTCCTCTGGTTCGCAGGCCTGCGCTCAATCCACTGAGCTACACCAGCCAGGGCAGATAGAGCAATCTTGGATGTAGGTCCTTGCCTTTCATGACTTAGCATGAAATGGCAATACTTCTTTCCAGCCCTTTCTTGCCTGTAAGGTCTCTTGAGAAATCAGCTGACAATCTTATGGGCACTCCTTTGTAGGTAACTCCTATTGTCTTGCTGCTTTTAAGATTCTTTCCTGTTTAATCTTGGCTAAGGTAATTATGATGTGCCTTGGTGTGTTCCTTCTTAGGTCCAACTTCTTTGGGACTCTCTGAGCTTGCTGGATTTCCTGGAAGTATATTTTCTTTGCCAGATTGGGGAAGCTCTCCTTTATTATTTGTTCAAAGAAGTTTTCCACTTGTTGCTCTTCCTCTTCTCCTGGTACCCCTATAATTTGGATGTTGGAACGTTTAAAGATGTCCTGAAGGTTCCTAAGCCTCTCCTCATTTTTTTCAATTCTTGTTTCTTCATTTTTTTTTAAAGATTTTATTTATTTATCTTTAGATAGGAAGGGAAGGAGAGAGGGAGAGAAATATCAATGTATGGTTGCCTCTCGTGAGTCCCCTTCTGGGAACTGGCCTGCAACCCAGGCATGTGCCCTGACTGGGAATCGAACCACGATCATGTGGTTCGCAGGCCCGTGCTCAATCCACTGAGCTACACCAGCCAGGGCTTCTTCATTCTTTTTTGACTGGATGTTTCTTTCTTCCTTCTGGTCCACTCCATTGATTTGAGTCCCAGTTTTCTTCCCATCACTATTGGTTCTCTATACATTTTCCTTTATTTCACTTAGTGTAGCCTTCATTTTTTCATCCAATTTGTAGCCAAATTCAGCCAATTCTGTGAGCATCCTGATTACCAGTGTTTTGAACTGTGCGTCTGATAGGCTGGCTATTTCTTTGTCGCTTAGTTGTATTTATTCTGGAGCTTTGATCTGTTCTTTCATTTGGGCCTTTTTTTTTTTTCTTGAGGAGCCTGTTATGTAGTGAGGGGTGGAGTTTAGGTGTTCACCAGGGCAGGGCAACCCATTTGCTGGGTTGCGATGCTGTATGTGGGGCAGGGGTCTGAGAAGGAACAATGGCACTTGCTCCACTCTGCCAGATTTCAGCCCCTTCCCCCGCTTCCCCCAAGCAAGCTGAGCCCTTCTGGTGCTGATTCCCGTGTGGGTGGGTTTGTGTGCGTTCTAAGACCCTGTGGGTCTCTCCAGTGAACTCGCCTGTGAGGCTGGGAGTTTCTCCCTGCACCTCAGCTCCCACAGGTGTTTTCAATTGGTGTTTTGAGGCTTTATTTCCCTGTGCTGGGACCCTAGGTTGTGTGGTCTGTCTCGATCCTCAGTTTCGCCCGCCACCTTACACACAGCCTCCCTCCATAATCCACTGCCTCACTGGGTCCACCAGCTGCCACTTTGCCTGACCCCTCTCCACCTTGCCACCGGACTCCGCCCCTCCTGCCGGTCAGGATGAGTGTGTCTACTTTAACTCCTTGGTTATTGGACTTCCATACAGGTCAATTTTCTGTTGGTACTGGTTGTTTTTTGTTTCTAAATTGTTGTCCTTTTGGTTGTGCGAGGAGGCACAGTGTGTCTACCTATACCTCTATCTTGGCCAGAAGTGTGGAATCCTATCTTGTATTCAAACTGAAATTCTTAAAAAAATTTTTTAATTGGTTTTAGAGGAAGGGGGAGAGAGAGAGAGAAGCACCGATTTGTTATTCCACTTATTTATGCATTCATTGGATGATTTGGGAGTTCAAACCTGCAACCTTGGCATATTGGGACTATACTCTAACCAACTGTGCTAACTGGCCAGGCTCAAACTGAAATTCTAAATGTCACTCTGGCAGGTAGTTGGTTGGAGCATTAGCCTGTAACCTAAAGGTCACCAATTCGATTCTTAGTCAGGACACACGCCCAGCCTGCGGGTTCCATCCCTAGCTGGGCTGCATGCTGGAGGCAGCCAGTAGGTGTTTCTCACATTGATGTTCCTCTCCCTTTCCCTCTCTCTGGAATGAGAATAAGATAAACCTTTTTTTTAAAGTTCTGAACATGTTCTCTCAAGCCTGCAAGGCTCATGTAGTTCCCTTTGCTTAGACTGCCCTGTCTGCAGTTCCCACCTACCTGCCTGGAGACCTCTTTGGAACAGTGCGAGGGCCACCTCCTCTATAAAGCCTTCCCTTACATCTTTCCTGGCTTTGTAGTGCTTCATCTCACTACCGTTGTTTTATTTCTTATGTGTCAGTCTCCCTTGTTAACTGCTAACTCCTTTCATTAATTTATCCATCTTGGTGTCCTCAGGGCCTAGCAATGCTTTCGTACATAGTAAACAGTCTAACATTACTTGAAAGAACTGGTTTACTTCCCCCATTTGCCTCGTTCTTCTCCCCCACCCCCCGTATGTGATGAGAACAGAGGTGCCACCAAGCAACTTATCCAGGGGCCAACTGCGAAGCAGAAGACGGGCAGGGCTCTGTGGTACTCCCTAACACAGTGTGCCCGGGACAACTGCTCATCTTGATTAAGGGTGGAGACCTGCCTCCAACAGGCCTTGAAGCTGTCCTGCCAGCTGGGTCAGGCTGTCAATAAACAGGAATTTACCAGTAGCCTGTGGCATGATCTGTTGGAGTTTTCACTGTATTTTGGGCGATAGATGATACAAGACATCTGGTTCTTCCTTTGTTTTTTCCTCTGCCTGCCCCCTCCCCTCCACCCCCCATTCTTAAATCCAGACTCCCCTTCTATGACCACAACCTCTAGTTCTGTCATTCCCACCAAATTCCCACCAAAATTTCACTGAGACCTACAACCCTTCCCCCGGCCTTTTCACCTTGTTTTTCACCTTGTTTGAACCCATCCAGTTTAGATTCTGTGTTCCATCATTTCAGCCACATTCTTGCCTGTGTCCTTGAAGACTCCATTCCTTCATTGCAGCTGCCAAGGGGAACCTTAATCTTGCGTTATTCATCTATCAATGTCCATCTACCTATATCCAGGATGCTAAAAGGATCTTAACACTGATGTGTTCAGATCATGTATCTGTAAATTGTGTTCTCTAACCTCTGTTGGGTCCTCAGTGCTGCCCAGTGACCCTGCTCATTTTCCAGAATCAGCTCTCTTCCACTCTCCATAACCCATTTTCAAACTCACTTCCTCTCCTTGTTAGCTGACCTCCCTCATAGCTTAGTGGGGGATGCAATAAGAAAAGCAATTATAGTCACGCCGGTAGGTGTTGTGACAGAGGAAGTATTGGGGCTTCCAGGAGGCAGGAACATCTAACTTGGGCTTGGGCAAGCTTCCTTAAAACAGGTCATCAGTTAAGTCCTGAAGGGAGAGTAGGAGTTTGCCAGAACAGAGGGAACAATGAAGGAAAAGCAATTCTGTTTGGCTGGAGCGTTACATATATGTTAGAAGGAGAAACTGGGGAGGTAAGCAGGGTCAAGTCTTGAAGACACAAAAGCATTTGGACTTGATCCTGAGATTAATGGAACACATTAAATTGTTTTAAATGGGAATAAAATCAGATTTATGCCTTGGACTTAAGGATGAAATACAGAGTTTAGGGTCATGGAAGGCAAGATAATGCATTTCACTAGCCACCTGGCTGGGTAGCTCAGTTGGTTAGAGCATCATCCCAATATGCCAAGGTTGTGGGTTTGATCCTTGGTCAGGGCACATGTGAGAATCAACCAATGAAGGCATAAATAAATGGAACAACAAATTGATGTTTCTCTCTTCCTAAAAAAGTGAAACAAAAAAATACTGAATAAAATTTTTTTAAAAGAATGAATCTCAAGGTTAAGAGACGGAGACTACTACTACACCCTTCAGTCTGCATGACCCTTATAACCTTGTAATTGTCTTTATTCCTATAGAAAGTATGGAAGTGATACTTTGTGACATTGGAGCCTGGCTGTAATTGATCATGCAACTTGTGACTTTTTCTCTTGAAATTCATTGCCACTCTGTGAGGGAATTGAGGCCAGTCTGCTGGATAGTGAGACCAATATGCAGCAGAAATAAACCATCCCAGCTGAGATGAGACCACCAGATGAACCACTCAACTGAGTGTAGCTCAATTTGCCAAAAAGTTTTTGTAAGCCAAAAAAGAAAAAAAAGTATGAATTTTAAAGTTAGACCCCTCAGAGCATGCTTCTGAATACCTTGTAAATTCTCTTTAATATTCTCACACTCATGTGTTTCTCATGCTGGATTATAAAATCTAGGAGCACAGGGTCTACTAGCTTTATTACTTATTTTATCCCAGTATTCATCACACTGTGTGACCCATAGTAAGTACTCAATAAACATGAATGGTTGTAGGGACCAGATCTATGGACAGAGTCTCACCAGCTTGCAAAAGGTGCCTCCAGGAATGACTGTGTTCCAAACTCACTTCATTCTCAAGCCTTGTGGCCAATGGTCGGATAGAAGGTGAATTGTGATGTGTGTGGAACATGGGACCTTGGGGAATTCCGTAACCAAGAGGAGAAAGACATAACAGCTGCTGGAGACAGAGAATTGCTTCTCCCTTTTCTCCCCTCCAAGTTCCTAGTGAAGAGCTGAACCTACCATTCCAGACCTGTGTGACTACACAGGCAAACATTTGGAGACTGACTTCACTTTGGTACCCTGGCTTTCAGTGGCTCAAGGTGTTAGCTTTCTGAGCAGACAGGAGGCTTTTAAGTAGCAAAGCTCCCTGCTCTCAGCATGCCCAGCACCATGGGGAAGGGAGACACCCAGGAGGTAGCTCCACCCACCTCAACCCACCGCTCTGTCATGGAGGAGTATGGTTATGAGGTCGGCAAGGCCATTGGCAATGGCTCCTATGGGACAGTATATGAAGCTTACTACACAAAGCAGAAGGTCATGGTGGCTGTCAAGATTATCTCAAAGAAGAAGGCCTCTGAAGACTATCTGAACAAGTTCCTGCCCCGTGAGATACAGGTTGGAAAGGGGACTGGAACAGGGAACTGGTACCAAGTTGCTTAAGGCTTCTCACAAGGGATATAGTCAGGAAGGGGGAGGGCCAGAAACCCCCAAACCATAACTGAATGCCTCAATAAGCAGCTAGGAAAGTTATCTGATATAAATCCAACTCTTTCCACCCACCCATTCACCTCCAGCCCCTCACAAATTGAAAGGGCAAAGGACAGGGTTTGCTCCTGTTGCAAAGTGAGTAGGAGCTCTGGGAACACAGCCAGGGTTCTCCCTTCTCAGGTTTGATGGGTCACTGTTCTGGGGCCAGGTAATGAAAGTACTGCGGCACAAGCACCTCATCAACTTCTATCAGGCCATCGAGACCACATCCCGAGTGTACATAATTCTGGAGCTGGCTCAGGGTGGCGATGTCCTTGAATGGATCCAGCGCTATGGGGCCTGCTCTGAGCCTCTTGCTGGCAAGTGGTTCTCCCAGATGGCCCTGGGCATCGCTTACCTGCACAGCAAGGGCATCGTGCACCGGTGAGTATGCTGCCACCCAGACCGGGGCCTTTGGGCTTTCAAGGGGGTTTTGTGCATGTCTCTATTTCCTGCCCTGTTTTTCTCCTCCTCTGACCTCCCTGCTCAGTATCTAGGCCCATTTACCCACTCTATTGTAGTCACCTGGTCAAGAACATTTATTAAGTACCCACTCTGAGCAGAGCCCTTTACGAAATGGTGAACTCCCTGGGCTCCCCAGGTACCATTGTGTCTTTTTTGGTCTCTGCTCACAAGCCCATGGCTTTCCTTCCTCTCTTGCCTTGGGTCTTCATAATGGCATTTCTCCCATTATGCCTTTCCTCATCTCTAGCCTCTGGCTCTTCAGCTCTGGGTCTAATACTAAGCCCTCTCCCTGACCCCCAGCCTTTCTGCTGCTGGTAGGGACTTAAAGTTGGAGAACCTATTGCTGGACAAGCGGGAGAATGTGAAGATATCGGACTTTGGCTTCGCCAAGATGGTGCCTTCTAACCAGGCTGTGCGTAATAGCCCTTCTCACGGACAAATGAACTGCTTTAACCACCTCAGCCAGACCTACTGTGGCAGCTTTGCTTATGCGTGCCCAGAGATCTTGTTAGGCTTGCCTTACAACCCTTTTCTGTCTGACACCTGGAGCATGGGCGTCATCCTCTACACTCTGGTGGTTGCCCGTCTGCCCTTTGATGACACCAATCTCAAGAAGCTGCTGAAAGAGACTCAGAAGGAGGTCACTTTTCCAGCTAACTTGTCCATCTCCCAGGAGTGCAAGGTGCTGGCTCCCCCAGTAGGACTGAGGTTTCAGGGATGCCCCATGGGGAGGGAACCCAATCTAGGTCTCCCAACCCTGGAGAAGGCTCTTCCCTACCAGAGCCAGCTCACACTCTGGCCTCTGCCCTAGAATAGTGGGAAGGACTTAAAGGACCAATCACTGGGCTCCATACCTTAGATCTGTGCGGTGAGCAAGATTCAACTTCTATCTTTTTAGGCCAGAGGGGAAGAGCCTTTTTATGCAAGGCTCTTCCTTCCCTTTCCCTCCAGCGAGTTAAAGGCCTGGCTCTTCAGGATAAAGTGAAAGCCACACCCTCTTCCATCAGAGTGGTGTGATGGGCTGTCCTGCTTCTTTCTTAGGTCTCCTGCTCATTGCCTGGGTGGCACAATGGGAGGCTCAGCCAAGACCTCTCTCTCCCCTGCCTTAGAACCTGATCCTCCAGATACTACGCCAAGCCACCAAGCGAGCCACCATCCTGGACATCATCAAGGATCCCTGGGTGCTCAAGTTCCAGCCTGAGCAACCCACCCATGAGATCAGGCTGCTTGAGACCATGTGCCAGTCGCCTAGCGTGGCAAACCGTCACAAATCCATGGAAATCAGTGTCTGAAAGTGGCTGAGGGGCAGGGGGTTGAGAGAAGGGCAAAGCAGGAGGCGTCTGGCTAAAAATCTTTTATACCAAAAATAAATCTAAGTCTGATTTAGTTTCATGAGCTGGGGTCAAAGACATTCTTTCCTGAGGGGAACCTTAGCAGGTAGATTTCTGCCCAGAGCCTATAACCAGTCATCTCAACAGCTGTTGAGTCCACAGTGTCACTCAGTGCAGCTTCCATGTGGCTCACGGGGGAGGGGTGCTCAGGTGAACACCTACCTGCTTTAGGGAGTTTCACTATTCTGGCTAAGTACATGGTCATTATTTTACAACTCTTTGCACTTCAAAATGTTCAAGCCATAGGGTAGAGGACCTTTAAGAAAAGGAACTATCTTAAGAACAAACCTGGTTGTTTGTTCTTAAGAAAAGGAAATATCTTGGTCTCTTTTTCCTCCTCTAAATTTACTATTGAAACAATCCTAGTGAATCACAGCACCTCACTGACTCCAGACACAGAAGTGACAGTTCGAACCAAATCTACTAACTATGGATTCCAGCAAAGGAAAGTTACTTGCCCCTTTATCTCTGTATTCTCCCTCCCTGTCCTTGAAATGGGCTTTGCAAAGAGAAAATGGGCAATAAATCATGAGGCTGTCTTGGCAGAGGCCGACTGGGGGGGGAGTGACGTGGGAAGACGCAGACACAGCGCCACCTTCTGGGTAAGTAATCGACTGCAGTTTCCTCAGCCTCAGCACTAGGCAACTCTGGGGCAAACTGACTTGAAAGATGAATCTAGTAGGTAAGATATTAGAAACATTTGTTCTATATTCCAGTGCCCCTTTGTTATTGTTATTATTCATGGCCTGAAAAAATCTCCAAGGACCAGGGGAAGAGTTTCAGGTATAGACAAGGCAGTATAAATACCAGGGTTCCATCTACCCAATTTTATTGAGGACAAGAGCACTGTAACTACTAGTAGGGAGCTCGGAGGCTCCTCCTGCACCGAGATCCTTCTTTACCGTTGAGCCAGGGAGGGTAACAAACCCTTTCTCAAGCAGGGCTATACCACACTCTCAGCAGGGCCTCCCAAAAAGGCTACGTTCCTTTAGCTTAGTGCTTGGCACTTAAGGAAAAGAGACCAACGAAGGCAGCATCAGGAAGATATGCCCAGACTCATCAGGATACCCAGTCAGTCAACTGCTTTAGTGCTTCTTCATCTTCATCCTCTTTGGGAGCTTTGGGGCAAGAATACCCAGAGAAAGACATGTTAACGCCTCGGCACCTTCCAACCACCCCTGATACAACACTCAGAACTTGCTGAATTTTCTCTCCCCAGCAAAGAACCCAAAGGTGTGGCCCTTCTGCTTGCTGGGCTGCTGCTAACCCCATATCTTTGTGTAACTTAAAAAAAAAAAAATAGGCGCCTGTTTCTCTCAGCATTTGCAGCCCTAAAGCAGGGCACACAGCTTGCTGAGTGGAGCACAGGCTGGATTTCGGTCCCCACTCCCCTTTAGCCAGGTACCTTTATGCAGTCGACAACCTGTGCAACCTTTCTGCCCGGTTCCTTTGTGGAACCAGGGGATGAAGAATGATCTTGCCTCGTATCTGTCCCACCCCCTCAAGTCCTTGAGACATGAGAACAGCTCTGAGTACCTGGCCCTGAAGGCAGATGTGCAGAGGGTACACTGGGCAGGTGGACTGGGGGTTCTTCCTCCTTGTCGCCCACATGTAACAACTCCTGGGCCAATTCCTCCTGCTCCAGCTCCTCTAGCTCCTCCAACAGCTCATCCTGGATAGGGGACGACATGACTGTTCAAGACCAAGAAAGGAAACTTCTGCTCTTAAAAACATACCACTTTTGGAGTTCTCCCTAAGATTGCCCCACGATTCTCCTGGACATTGGTTTTGGCTGGTCCCATGCTTTCTCTAAGACTTCCTAACCCCTCTCCCCCAATCACCTCATCCACATCATCTCCAAAGCCTACAGGCCGAGAAATGGCATCAGAGATCTGCTGGGCCACCTCCTGTTGTTCTGTGATATCGGCCATCACTTCATCCACCTTGTCGATATCCCTGAGGAAAAGATATACAGCCGAGACATCAGGCAACTACCCCCCTGACTTTCTCATCTCACATGAATGAAACCCGTTCTGCCGGTGGCTTCAGACTGATAAATCCATGGCCAACAGGTGGAAGAGATTCCTGGAAAATTGTAACCAGGCAAGATCCACACTGGGCAGGGACTGGGGCAGATTGCACTCCCTTCTCTGAAGGGTCTTTACAAATTAGTAAAATCATCTTTTTTTTTGCTAGAATGCCCCAGCCAGAAAAGAGATATTCTTTCGGAAAGCAAGGAGGCTGAAATAAATGTAGCCACCACAGGTACCTGTAAATTCACATTCAGAGGTTTTAAGACCCAAAGTACAACACCAAGCTAATCACCCCAGTACTTGGGCCCCCTCCGCCCCTTTCCCCCATACCCACATGTCCTGATAGGCTTTCTTCATGCTACAGGCAGCAAGCTCCATGGTGCGAAGCACTTCTGCATTGGTGGTGGCGTTCTCAATGGCCTCACGCTGAAACTCCAGGGTAGACAATGTCCCATCGGTTTGTGCCAGCTGCTGTTCCAATCTTTTCTTCCTCCTCAAAGCCTGTAGGGCAGCTGACCCAGGCCACACCGTGAACATCAGAGTCAGAAGCCCCTACTTGGTACCTGGGTCCTCCCTGTTGGTACCTTACCCCTATTACCTCTCTTGTTCTTGGTCCCATGCTTCTTGGCTGTTTGCAGCTCCTGTTGAATCTTCTGCTCCAGAAACTCCTGTTTCTTGATCAGTATCTTCTCAGTCTCCTTCAGTTTTTGTATTGCCTCTTCAGGGCTTGGCCCCTTCTCCTTCTTCCCTGGAGTCCAATGGACAAGGCCCATATTGTGTGAAGAAAAAAAATTCACCACCAATCATGGAGTGCATACTATGTGGTAGGCATTTGGCTGTTATTCTAGTCCCAAAAGGACTCTCTGCAATGAATTATATTATTTTTAGTTTACAAATGTGAAACTAGGCATGGAGATACTTTTTTTTTTAATCTAAAATCACAACTAGTAAGAGACTGAGCAGTAATTGAAATGTGGCAACATGACTCGCAAAGCCAGTATTCCTTTGCTATCCAAGCCTGGCTGGAATTTCAAGTCATTTCCAGTCTTCTTAAAAAGTTTATCGACTCTTTTATAAAAGATTTTATTTATTTATTTTTCAGAGAGAGGTGAAGGAGAAAGAGACAGAGAGAAACATTGATATGAAAGAGAAACTTTGACCAGTTGCCTCTTGCAGGTGCCCTGACTGGGGATGGAACCAGCGACCTTTTGCTTTGCGGGACAACACGCAACCGAGCCACACAGGTTAGAGCTAGACTTTATTTCTTAGAGCAGTTTTAGGTTCACAGCAAAACTGAGCGGAAGGTACAGAAATTTCCCATATCCCTCCTACACTCACATATGCGCAGCCCTCCCGTTATCACTCCCCCGCCAAAGTCCAGCCGCTCTTTATAATCACTGTTCCACTTGCTGTCACAAGAGATAACCCAAGGTCCTGACACCACAGGCTCAAACCGAATGAAGTACAGGGGCTAGAGAAAAACAAAAAACTGATCATAGTTTTCCTTTCATCTTCTGCACTTCAAACAGCTATTTCCCTCCACCCCCCACATCTGATGGCCCTTGCCTGCTTGAAATCCTTCCATACTCTCTACTGCTTATGAATAAAACCCCAAACTTAAAAAAAAGTGCTTATTGATTTGAGAGAGGGGTGGGGGAGAGAGAGAGAGAGAAACATTGATTTGTTGTTCCCCTTACTTATGCATTTATTGGTTCATTCTTGTATGTGCCTTGACCAGGAATTGAACCACCAACCCTGGCATATCCAGATGACGTTGTAACCAACTGAGCTATCCAGCCAGGGCAAAATTCAAAACTTAAAAGAAAAATTGCCCTGGCTGGCATAGCTCAGTGGATCGAGGGCTGGCTGGGAACCAAAGTGTCGCTGGTTCGATTCCCAGTCAGGGCCCCAAGTGTGTTCACTTGGGAACACACAAGAGGCAACCACACATTGATGTTTCTCTCCTTTCCTTCCTCTCTCTGTAAATATAAATAAAAATAAAATCTTTAAAAAATGTAGAATTAAAAATAATTTTTTATCCTTACCCAAGGATATGCTAATAGAGGAAGGGAGAGAGAAACACCGCTGGGCTGCCTCCCACATGCACTCCCACCAGGAATGGAGCCTGCATCCTAGGTACGTGTCCTGACCAGGAATCGAACCAACAACCTTTTCGGTGTATGGGACAGCGCTCCAACCAATTGAGCCACCTGGCCAGGGCCAAAATCCAAAACTTTTTAAACGGGATTTACAAGGTTCTTTTGGCCCTTGCTTACCTCTCCAACCATACTTCTTTTTACTCTCCTCTCCCCTTCGGTGCATAGGCAGTCATGGGGCAACCAGAACTACTCTTTCTTCTAAATATAACCGTCCTTTTTCCAGCCTCTGTTTGCACACACAGGTATCTCTTCCTGAGGTACCTTGATTCTCCACCTGATATACTTCTAGCCTTCTGAAGCCCCAACAGCTGCTCCTCCTGTGCTCCTCTGGTTTTCAGGAACATCTCCATCATACAATGCTACACTATACTGTAAATGCCAGTTTTGCTGGTCTTCCCCCATTGGATGGGAGCTTTGAGAAATCTCCTTTCTCTGTCAGTACAGATTCCCTCTTGCCCAGCATTAAGTAAGCACCAATGTTTTGGAAAAAACTGGAAACTGGTTGCCAAATCTAAACAGTGGGATCCAGCACAGCACACCTCTCCTGTCCCTTCCCCGGCCTCAGCTCTTCCTTCTGGTGGAGTAGGGAAGGCTGACACAGCCTGGCTGCCTGACAAGGTGGACCTCCTGGCACTGGAGGCCTCGCGGGGCCAACACCAGGATTGCGGTGAAGCCTGTCTTCCTGGGTTTCTTCTCCGCCAGGGGCCGTGGTCTCTCCCCCACTCCCCGTGGCCAGCGCCTCCCGGCCGACCGGTCTTGCCCCGGCTCACCCTTCCCAAAGAGTCGCCCCAGACCACTCATTGCAACCCTGTCCTCTCCAACCGCGGGCCCACGGCGTCCAGCACACTTCCGCCTTGTTCCTGAGAGCGTGCATCTCCTCGCTCAGACACCAGCCTCGGCCAATCGCTCCCGGGGCACCACAGTGACATCATCAACAGGCACCAAGGAGGCCACTTCTACCACGTGATGACAGCCACCGGCTCCAAATTCACACGTTCCTCTTAAAGGGGCTGCTTCTTTTTCAAGTATAAAAGGGCCGCCCCCATCCCGCCTCAAAACAAAGTATTTGTTTCCTAGAAGGAAATGTGCAGGGTAATACATCCCGTTACCTGGGGACAGTGGAAGATTTAGTCCTTTATGCCCTTAACAGCTCAGGAGAGAGAGTGAGGATGCCGCGAGCAACAAGGGGTTTGCCACAGGTTCTAAGGCAGAACTTGATGCTGTCTAATGCCTCACACTCTGGTCTTGGCCCCTCTGAATAGCCAACCCTGGTTCACACGCAAGAAAAACAACCCCACACTGTGGGTAAGATTTCTTCTGTCACACACAAACACATTTTAATAATTTACACATGCACCTGAAAATGCCTTCCTGATTTCCTTCAGTTTTATGCCTCAAATGAGGCTCATCCATAGGACTGGACCTCAGGGTCCAGCTTGGGCCTTTGCAAATGTCTCTAATCCTTGAGTTAGAACCTGAAGACTCATTCCATTCTGGACATGAATGCAGGTAACACCTAGAAAGAAAAAGAGATCTCATTTTATACCTATCCCTCCTAGGCACCTTTTCTCCCCATTTCCCAAATGGTATTCTCACCACTCAGTACCCAGTTTGCTGACATCTACAATATTCCGCTTCTCATCATCAAAGAAGAGCATCTGGGAGAAAGGAACTCCAGTCTTCTGCCGCAGCCTGTGCAAGACAGGGGCGGGGGGGGTAACCACACTGGCTTCTTAGCTCCTCCAAGTCTCTGCTTTTCTCTTCCCCTGCTTCTTCTACCCTCATCTCCGGCGCATACCTCTCAAAGTGTGTGACCTTGCTGCCTGGATAGATTTCCCGCTGAACAAAGTATCTGTCAAGGTCAAAGAGCTCCAGTAGCTGGTTGGCCCCTTCAATTTCACCTGTCCTGCAAAGAGGTGTAGTAGCTGGGATTAGGAGAGTGGAGGGCCAGAGCTGCAAGTGAAGTTAAGTATAACTAGGGGTAAATCAACTTGTTTTTCCAGGGGATGGATAGGCTTCCTGGGCTCTTATTCTACTCCATATCCTTCCTTTCTGACACAGGTGGCCCCAAGGCAATGTTCAAAAAATAAAAGGCACGGGCAGTCATAATTTTTAAAAAATGTACAATACTTGCAAATTTACACCGTCTAAACTTTGGAGCAAGAGAAATCTTACGCATGCATCTGTCAACATTAGGCTGACAGTTTTTTTCAGTTGCTCTTCTTACCGTGAGGCGGCTGCAACGGGCACCCCGAGCTCCCGAAATCGGTCCAGGACCTCGGGCACCTCTGGATACAGCCGGATAGTCTGGCCTCGCCTATCTCGTACAGTTCCATCACTGGAGAAAGCGAGAGTGCCCTCAGCGCCGGCCCGACCGGCCTTTTCCCAGTCCTCCCCAGCCCTGCCTCACCTGCTCTTATGGAATGGGGGGTCTACGTGCGTGTCCACCCAGAATGGCCAGAGCGTGTAATCTGAGAGAGGAAGAAAGTGGAAGGTTCAATCTGAAGGAAGCAGAGCCTCGAAAGCTGCGACTGGGGTTTGGAAAAGGAAAGCACCCTACGGAATTCTATACAGTCGGGCCCCTCACCCAGATCGAAGACAGCGAGCTTCGGTAGCCGCTCCATCCTCTGCGCCTGGAAGTTGCTTGCCAGAGGCGTACGGAGGCGGGGCCTTCTCCAAGGCCATAGAATGCTCTATACTCACGCAGCGCAGGGTCAGCCTTAGGGAAATGGCGGTTAGAGAGTCCTTACGGCAAGCCGCTGCCCTGTGAGCCTGGAGACGGCACACAAGCGCCATCTGACGGTGGAAGGGGAGAGGACTGCAGCAAGTGCCAACACGCTGTACACGGGACCACAGTGGTCTCCAAGTTTCTCCTTCGCTTCTCTGCACCTCCTAGTCTCCCAAAATTCTACTAGAGACATTAGGGAAAAGAAGCCCTTTCTTCTGGCACTGGTCTCTCATTGCACCTTACAAACCTAAGTCACCCAGCATAGCTTGTGTCATTCCTGTCTTTTTTTAAAATGTATTTTTAGAGAGGGAAATTATCAATTTGTTGTTCAGCTTATTTATGCATTTCATTAGTTGCTTCTTGCATGTGCCCTGGAGATCAAAACTGCAACCTTGGTGTGTAATGACATCCCTCTAACCAACTGAGCTACGGGTCCAGAGCTCCTCACCCAAACTGTGTATCAGCGGCTTTCTAGCGTGTAGAGCCCAGACCCCTCGGCAATATTCCAGCCATAAAGAATATGGTATCTGTAAAACCCTTCTGGCCTTTCTCAAGTCAGGCCCTAATGTCCAGTAGAGCCACAATGAGACTTTGGTTTCCTGGTTTCTACCACCCATGTCAGTAGTTTGATAATAGATGTGTAATAACCAGTTTGGATGATGGATTGATTTGTATTGTTTGCCAATTTCTATAAATATTCCTACTTACCATGGCCAATTTCAAGCTACCAACATGAGGTTATTTAACATGGGGTGGGAAGGAGACACCAATAATCAGGTCTCATGGACTGATAAGAGCTGACTCCAGTACACCACTGCCACTGAGCCCGGCGACCATTTCTAAGGACACTTCCCTTGCATTGTCCTGTTCCTTCGGTCTGGTAGAAGAGGGTGTGCATCTGGTCCATTTTGATTTCAGTCATATTTGTGCAACAGGAGAAAGATTCCAGGAGGCCAAGAATCTTTTACATTTTATTTTATTGAGAAACAGAGAGGGAAGCACAGAGATCTGCAAACTAAAACCCAAGAGCCGGCAAGGGCCCTTTGGGCCAGAAACACTGCATCCTGGGGTCTTCAGTCTCCCACCAGTAGACACACAAGACTGGGCATCCAGGAGAGGGGCAGTCACTCTGGTGTCCCAGAGAGTGATAGGATATATGATGCCTCATTACGAGGAACAGGGTAAAGAGGTAAAATGGAGAGAGGGACCATCACTGCCTAAGACCACCTCCTCCTCTTAGTGCCAACACCAGATGGAGGACTGAACCACCTAGGATTTTATAATCAGCCGCTGTCTTCTCATCATTCCTGCAGGAAAAGGAGGCACAAAAAGGATTAGAGATATCATGTAGAATAGGGCTCTCAACCTGGGTCTCATGGATCTTTCTGAGGGTCTATGAATTCAGATGACAAAAAAAATTACATCTTTATTTTTACTAACCACAAATTGAAATCTGGTTATTTCTTTAAATTGTGAAGATAGGCGAAAAACCACAGTGGTATAAGCAATATGGGTAACCTATTAACAACATAAATTAAATATATTCATACCATATTACAATTACTTGTAGGTATCTTGAAAATATTTAGAAATTATGGTAGTATTTGGCCCACCATTCAATATTAATATATTAATAAAAAGCACATATATTATAAAGTTGCCTTTTTAGTATTTTGATAACTGCATCTCAATATAATTAGTTTCTTCTGTAATTCGATATATTTTATGTCTGCTAAAATATTATTCTGAGAAGGGGTTCATAGGCTTCATCAAATTGCCAAAGGGTGTAGGCGGGCAATAAAAAGAAGCGGGCCTGCTCTATCCCCAGGGTCTGCTCCCTCATCTTCACATACGGCCGCCGCAGCCTCATTCCCATTCCAAACTCACATCTGTTTACCACTGTAGATGAGCCGCTGCTGCTGTGGGGGGATTCCCTCTTTCTCTTCCACACGTTCCTTGATTCGCTCCACCTTTAGGGGTACAAGTAGTCAGGGGCTACTCGTGGTAGGTAGGGGTAGGACCATGGAAGTGGAAAGAACAGAGCTATGCAGATAGCATGAAAGCAAAGGACTAAGTCCATCAGCATATCCAAACAAATGCACATGCAGGGAGGTAGGTATGAAGAGGTGCTGGGCATTACCTTGTCTGTGGGTTCAATGTCAATCTCAATCTCCTTTCCGGTCAGCGTCTGAAACAGGCAAAGATTTCATGAATCCTATAGCCCAATATACAGTTTATCTTCTAGGTAAAATGTCCTCGCAGTGCCTGGTGTGGCTCAGGGGACTGAGCGCTGGCCTATGAACCAAAGGGTCGCCAGTTCGATTCTCAATCAGGGCAGATGCCTAGGGTGTGTGAGAGGCAACCACACATTGATGTTTCTCTCCTAATCCTTCTCCCTCCCTTCCCCTCTCTCTAAAAATAAGTAAATAAAATCTTAAAAAAATAAAATAAAATGTCTTGTCCTAGTCTCTGGGGCTCTACTATCTTCTGAGAGTTGCACATTCTTGGCAAAGCTGCTTTGAAGAATCGGAAGGCTTTGATCGTACCTGTATTGATCAAACATTTTTACGCTCTGGACTAGTTTGAGTGGGAAAGACTCTGTGAACCATTTGACCTTACTCCCCCAGGTCATTTCATATTCCCTTTGCTTGAGACAGCAGTGAGAGATGTCCTAAAGAAAGCATTCTTTTGAGTCAGAAGGACCTTGCTTTATACCAATGATAGAAATTAACATTCAGATAATTTAAAGAATTCTCAAGGAATTCTTCAAGGACACCAGAGATCACCTCCGACCAAGCTTCTCCCGTATCTTCTCCAGACTTCTATGTAAATCCTAAATTGCAGCCCTCGTCTTCTTCCATAGGCTAAGAGCCGCTGGTGTCCAAATGCAACATGCTGACTGCACACTTTAAAATGCTGTGCTCCATTCAGTCTAATCTCTCATCCATCCTTGTTTGAAAGCTTGTATCTACACCAGTCTACAGTAATCCAGACAACAAACACACAATGCAGGGTCCAATTTGGGGGCATTTCTTTCCTTTTACTGTATTCCTTTTTGTCATACCCTTCACCACTTTTTCTCAAACCTTCAAAGACCCTTTAAAATAAGATTGATGACTTGTCCCCAATGCACTTTAATACTCGTTACAGCTAGTTGTTTAAGTATCTTACTCTCCAACTTCCTTAAGGACAGGAATTGTTCTAACTGAAGCACAAAGCACAATATTTGACATATAAGCATCAAAAAATATTTGTGGGAGGGCTAAATACACTGATGATTATGTTAGAATCACAGCCAACATTTACTGAACACTTTACAAGAATCGGAAACCAGACTGAGTGTCTTACATGTATCAATACAGTTAATCCTTGCTAGTCTTCCTGAGATAATGAACTATTTCTATCACCAATTTATAGATGAGAAAAATGGGGCTTGGGCAGGTTAAAAAGTGTGGTTATGGAATCAAAAGGAGGGTGTGGATCTAAACACAGACTCTCCGGCCTGAGCTCTGTACTCAGTACTGCCTGCGCTGGACTGATCTAGAACTGAGGCTCAATCTGTGCTTTTGTGGTAAGTTCACAAATAACACACTGCGTCTACTTATGGTGTTCACACAGACCAGCATGAAGAAAGTACTTAGGGCCTAATTTTTCAGGTACGAGAATGGTTCAGTCCTAATATATAGTATTTCCAAAAATGCAAGACTAACTCCTTTGGCTTTACTTGTTTGGATGCAAAAGAATCAATTACAACGACTCTCAGGTTTCTACCCCAACCCAAGCTGGAATGTGTGAACATTTTCTGTAGTCTATGATAAAATGAGAAAAACACTGACAGCAATGAGATTTTCAAGAAACTAAATATATTTGGGTGTTAAAATGTCTTTTTATGAAGCAACAGTAAAAATATTCGGTAACTTTTTTTAGGCCCTTTCCTGACAAATGAAAAGTATGCAATTCTGTGTTGTACAAAAATTATTTCACTTTACTGATTGCAATACCTTTTGGGGGGCCTGGGGGGCCATTCCCAGAAGTACTGCAATACTGGGTCAATGTGCGGAGTGGACAGAGCAAACTCCCATTCCATCTCCTGGCTCCAAAAATCCATTTAATACATTGTCCTCAGATAGAGGACGTGTCATATTAAACTGAGACCAAATACGACACTTGATCTCAGCTGAAAGGCTGAGAAGTGATTGAGCATAATACTTTAAATGCAAAAACTCTTCCACCAGACAATTCTATTTATAGGTGAGTAAATTGGAGGAAAAACTTAGGCATGTATCCAATGAGGAACATGTGCACCTTTTGTAAAAGCAGAACACTGGAAATAACTTAGTGCTTAATAAAAAAAAGAAAACTATTAAACTATGGTACATACACAGAATGATGATATATTTGTTACGCAATAATTTACACACTAAAATGGAAAGATCTAAAGAATGTATAATTATATATTTTTCTACATGAAAACACGTACATGCACAGAAGAAAGGATTAAAAGTATACATATCTCGCCCTGGCTAGTGTGGCTCAGTGGACTGAGCACCAGCCTGAGAACCAAAGGGTCAGCGATTCGATTCTCAGTCAGGGCACATGCCTGGGTTGCAGGCCAGGTCCCCGGTGTGGGGTGCATGAGAGGCAACCACACATTGATTTTCTCCCCCTCTTTCTCCCTCCCTTCCTTCTCTCTAAAAATAAATAAATAAAATCTTTAAAAAATGCATATACATATCTCTTGTAATGGTAGTTATCTTTGAGAAGGGAGTGATACTGAATGAAGGGTTTATCAAGGGTAACTCTTCCTTTATCTGTACTACTTAAATTTCTAATAAAAATAATTTCTTTATCACATGAATATTAATAAACAGATATTTATTCATTCTGATTTCATTATAGACAATTTTAAAGAGTAAAAAAGATTCTAAGAGAAGGCCTAGAATGGTTTTCCCAAGAGTAAAATGCTTAGACTTTATGACATCTAAAAAAAATAATTGGCCTGTAAAAATCTAAAACTCAGGAGTGACCCTTTATTTCTGAAATTGACTGCAGAAGCCCATGAATGTCTCCAGAAAACAATCTGGTCTCCCAGCAACAGCACTTTTGAAAAATAATCATAACTATGTACAAAAATATACCTTTAACACTGTCCATTGAGCCTTTTGATACTGAAAAACTAGAAACGCGCACTAAATTATCAAACAATTGAGGGTTAAATAAATTATAGTACAAACACAGAGGGAAAATCACGTCTTCTAGTCCTCAACGTCTAGAATAATGGTATAATTCCAATTTTGTATTTAAAATACCAAAAACAAACAACAAAACCCCTCAAATATTGTTTCTGCTTTCAAAAAGTTGGGAAGGATATATATATCAGTACTTTTATCTTGAGTTGTGAGGTTATAGATACTTTAATTACATTATTTGTACTTTTCTGTATCTTCCATTTTATATACCATGAGTACAATGTAGTGAGAAAAAAATATTTTTAAAACAAGGTCTTGAGTCCTGGCCGGGTGGCTCAGTTATTTGGAGTACTGTCCCGTACTGTGGGTTCACTCCCCAGTCAGGGCACACACATAGGCTATAGGTTCAATTCCAGGTTGGGGGACTGTGGGAGGCAACTGACCAAAGTTTCTCTCTCACATTTCAAGTATTCAGCAGCCCATGTGGTTAATGGTTACTATGCCGGACACTGTTTAAGCATTCCAGCTTAAACAACAATAAAATAAGAATACCCCCATTTTGTAACCTCCAATGAAATAATAGATCTAAGATCATGGAAAGGAAAAGAACCTAACAGATGTACACACCATACCACTACCTATGAATTATTTTCATACATGAACACACAGAAAAGATTAATCAAGCCTCAAGATCTTATTACCAATTCACAAGAGAAACAGGTTGAAGAGGAAATGTATATTCTCCATGTATTAAAGACAACATGGAGAATATAACCAGGAAATCCAAACCATACAAAATTCTATGGGACAAACAACACAGTTTATTCGATAAAAAAAAAAAATAGAGAAAAGGGTGCATTATAGATATAAAGAGGCTTAAAATACATATCAACCAACTACGATGTGTGATCTTAGTTCGCTCCAGATTAAAACTAACTGTAAAAAATAAATGAGACTATAGAGTATATCTGATGACAGTAAGAAATCATTGTTAATATTTTTTTCATTTTTAGAGAGAGGGAAAGGGAGGGAGAAAGAGAGGAAGAGAAACATCATTGTGTGGCTGCCTCCTATGCACCCCCCAAGGAACCTGGCTGCAACCCAGGCATGTGCCTCTGACTGGGAATCAACCAGCGACCCCTTGGTTCACAGGCCGCATTCAATTCACTGAGCCACACCAGCCAGGGCTCACTGTTAATATTTTAGGTGCAATAATTACGGTTATTTTAGAAAAAAGGTGTTATTTTTAATAGCTAAATACTGAAACATGTATGAGTAACATGCTGCGATTTATTTCATAAAACGTCAGGTGAGGAGAGTTGGTGAGTATAAACAGGATTGACCGTGAAATGATAGCTTTTGAAGCCGGGTAAAGGGACTGTCTCTGTGCTGCTGTATATGCTTGGAATTGTCCATAATTAAAAATAACTAAACAATTTTAAAAAATATTCTTGATCTATCATATGGTGATTGCAGATACTAGGTTTCCTCAGATCTGCTCCTTGTGACCCAGGAATGCATTCAATGCTAGTTGGTAAGTCTATGATGAACCTCAGCCCACATACTGCTTTAGGCACCGTAGGGGATATAAAAGAAATTGCGTGACCCAGCCTTTGCCAACAATCTTTTTCAAGTGAAGATTTACAACCAAGAAACAATGAGCCATACAATTAATAGAACCAACCTATGTAGCATACAAGGAAGTGCCATACTGAATATTATTGTCCAAATACAAGGTGCAATGACAAAGTGCTATGACGACTAAAAATCTATGCTAATTAATTTCACACCCTTTATCATAGCTAAAATAAAAATGACTGACATGACTAAAAGTTAGCAAGGGTGCAAAGCACCTGGGATGTTCATCACTGCAGGTGGCAATGTAAAATGGAACAACCCTTTGGAGAACTGTTTGACAGTTTCTTTTAAAGCAATATATATCTATCACATGATCCACTAATTCCATTCCTAGGTATTTATTCAAAGGAAAAACCTATGTCCACAAAAAGTCTTGTATAACAATGTTCATAGGAGCCTTATTCATAATGGCCAGAAAATGAAAACAAGCAAAATGTCTATCAACAGGAGAAAGGATAAACAAATTGTAATATAGCTACTCAATGGAATACTACTCCATTGTAAGGTACGGACACCCTTAACAACAGATATAATATGCTGAGTGAAATAAGTCAGACATGAAAAGTATATATTGCATAATTACATTCATATGAAGTTCTAAAATAAGCAAAACTGACCTATGGAAACTTTCAGAGGGTATGAGTGAAAATATTCTATGGAACACTACTCAGCCATAAAAGAGAAAAATTTACCCTTTGCAACAGCATGGATGGACCTGGAGAACATTATGCTAAGTGAAATAAGCCAGTTAGAGAAAGACAAATACCATATGATTTCAATCATATGTGGAAACTAGTAACAAACTGAACTAACAAGCAAAATAGAGACAGACTCATGGGTAGAGAGCAGGCTGACAGTTCTGGGGTGGGGGATGATAGGAGAATTTAGCAAAAAGGAAAAAGGACTCACGTACATGGACAACAGTGGTGACTACAGGGGGAAGGGGCATATAAGGGGAATAAATGGTAATGGAAAAAATTTTGTTTAATGTTCTAGATCTTATGGTTACATGAGTAGGTGCTGTGGTAAAAAAAATCACTAAACTGAAGCCTTACGAACTTTATGTTTCATTCTGTGTTTAAAGAAAAAAAACTTGAATGAGAAAAATGGTGTTTAGATAGTACAGACAGTTGTCCAAAGTAATCTGCTAAGAGTGTACCAGTGCAGCATCTGGGGTCAGAGAGCGATATGATGAAAAAGAAGTTTAAAAGATTTGTACACTATGATATTGTATATCATGCTTGGGTTTAGACTCTAAACTTTAGAAGGGGTATGGCCATACGAAAACCTGGTTGAAGGTATCATGCAGAAATAAAGACATAAGTTAATGAGACCCAAGAATAAGGGTATATAACTCTCATAAGTTAATGAGACCCCAGAATAAGAGTAATGGGAATAAAAAAAATCAAGCACACACACACACACCCCAAACAAAACAAACCAAAAAACCAGTATCAAAGGGAAAATTATGTTCTGTAAGAGAAAAATGACTCTAAAGAACTGAGTTCCAGATACCTGGTAGATTTGCAGGATCAATACATAAGATGAGTACTGGGGAGATGACTTAAGACAGAAGATGATATATTTAATTTTAGAACAATGATGTATCACGAGAAGATTTGTCAGAAAGATTGGTAAAGGATTGCAGAGAGAGATATGGAAGTAGTCAGCTAGGAGGAAAGGAGTCCTGCCAATAAACACCTATCACATATAATAATTAACAGCTACTAATCACATTCATATGTATTTAACATATAGAGAAGTGCAGCAAACAAAAAAAAAAAGAGACAGAGGACAGAGAAACCTGTTTAAAGGCAGAAAGGAAAGTGTTGCAGAAAAGGAGACTGACGATTTTAGAGAAGTAGTAAATAGAAGTGAATTCAGAGAGACAAAATCTAGAACCTTGCTACTTAAGCAGCATCAGCACCACATTAGAAATGCAGAATCTTGGGTCCCATCCCAGACCCACTTAATACTAGAATCAGTATTTTTACAAGGTCCTCAGGTAATTCTTAAGTACTTTTGAGTTGAGGAACCCATCTACAACACAGGTGTTTAAACTGTAGATCTCAACCATCAGTGGCTTATGAAGTCAACTTGGAATAGAATTGTAAACCTGCGCACTGAGACTCGAGTACATCACACATAGTAAGTGTTTTTGTGTCTGTCTGGAGGTAAATTTTTTTAGTGTCGACTGGAATTTTTCAAAAGGTTTACAAAACACTAAACACCAAGTATAGTGATAACCTGTTCTTTGGACTAAGAAAGTACTAAGGGGACACAAGAAACCTTATTAATTGAAAAGAAGATAAAAGCATTAATCTGCTAGTGTTCCTTACACTTTTTTGACAGTGACCCACACTAAGAAATACATATGAACTAGTAACACATATACCCGTGTAATATGCACATAAAATGAAACAATTCACAAAACACTGTTACGCACAAGTATACCCTGATATTTCTATTTTCTTCTTTTTATTTAAGGTTGCTCATAACTCATTGAACCGTTAAACTGACTTCACGATTAGTAACTCTTACAGGTCACTATTCAAAGTTTGAAAAAACAATGGCATTTGGCCATGCTGTTTGGCCTCAATCCCTGGCTAAGAGATTGTTTGAAAGAATTGAAGAGGTTAAGAATGGCTATTTTGTATGGTAAAAACAATAAGGAACTGGTGAAATAATGCAACTTACTGAGCAGTAAAGAAGCCAAACTAATGTTGCTCTGCATCAATTCAAAAATCAGATTTTTGTCTTTGCAGGTAGAAAAGAGTAAATAGCAGATAAAGCTAATGAGGGTTGGGAATTGAAGAACCCCGGAAGTTGAGAGATGGAGCTGAGGAGATACTGCTATTACCAAGAACTAGGGCCCTGGTAATCAACCTGCCTCAGTGAAGGAAATGAGAGTGGTCCAGAATGCCTGGCTCAGAATGGCAGGTGCTGACTGAACACACTCCTAACTTTGGTTCTTGAAGGCTGCCTGAGATACTACACCTTGGCGACAACCAACAAAGGCTTACAGTCTAGCCTCCGGAGGAGCCCCATTCCCCATGCTAACGTTTTTGTGCTGTGCTCAGAGGCAGCCTGTGTTAGGGACTGGGAGAAGCAGGAAACCTGCGCACTGAGACTCGAGATCAGAGCTTATTCCAAGAACCTAAGAGAAAGTGGAGCCGAGCTGCTGCTAGGCCTCCCTCACAGTGAGGGTTCGAATACACCGAGAACCGGGACAAAAGAGGCCTCCTTCTGGGTCATGGCACTGTACTGGCGAGAAAGCAGGAATGGCAAAAACCCCCGCGGTCGTCCGGCTGGGCCAGCTCCCCGCAATCAAAGACCTCTTAGAGTCCCCCTACTTCCCATCACCCCTCGAACAGAGCCCTGAGGTTGTCATCGCCCTCCAGGCTCGGGAAAGGCGTGGCTTCCCTTCCCCGATTCTCCCGTAAGGTGCAGAAGCCAGCCCAGTACCACTGCGTCTTGGCAAAGCTGGAGGTGCTCCCACCTTCACTTTAATTAGCATCTTCTTCCAAGATGTAGGCTGCACACAGATTAGTTGCCGCTTCCACCGCTGCGGTCGCCACTGCCGCTCCCTTGCACTAAGCCTGTGGGAGTCACTTCTTCTTCCGGGTCATTGTATGGCTCCGCCCCCTTTTCTATCCCGGGATTCCAGAAAGGCTCAGAAATGCTTCCGCGTTTTTTTTTTTGTTTTTTTTTTTCTTCCTGTGGCGTCGTAAAGAGAAAGAAGGCCGTCCGCTTAATTCCAGCAGAGATGACTCTGCGGCGATTCTGCGAGTCCTTAGCGAGCCGGTTGTAGTGGAAAGACGCAGCGAACGGACTACTGCCACCGCGCTAGGGGCAGCTCCGCGCGTTCCACCCTGGGAGTTGTAGTCTCCTGCCTCTCAGATCTAACGGTAACCTTTGAGCGCGAACTCTGTCAATCAGAAGCTCTCGCACGGCCTGCTGCCGAAGCTGGAATTCCTTGGGTAATCGTTTTCGCCCACAATTAGCGGGACCTGTTGGCTTGGACTGCAAGGCATAGCGGGGCTGCACGAGGTTAGTTGCTAAGCAAGGAGAGTTTCGGTCAACTGCCACCTGGACTAAGGTGACAGGAAGTGAGTACTCCTATTATGGAAACTAGTTGTGGGACTCCCCTCAAGTTCCTTCTCTCACCCAAATCACCCTCTTAGCTCAAATTACTTTTTTTTGCAGGGTCTGGAAAAGGAAAAGTAGTGGGGTAGCCCTTCCTTAGGGCTACTCAGGACTTCATCCGAGTTCTCCCCTCGGATGGAGACAGCGGGAGTAACAGTAACCATGGGACGGGTCAGAGGTGACAGTCTTCAGGGATCAACCACATCCTGATTTTCCACAATTTAGGCGAGGAGAGAGATGAGCCCTGCTGAAAGCCTTAACAGGGCATTAAGGCTTGTTGTTGATTCAGCCCTCTTCTCATGTCTTTCCTTCCAACTCAGATTCGTTGCTACTTCGAGGCCCCTGCCATGCCTCACATCGACAACAGCATCAAACTGGACTTCAAGGATGTCTTGTTGAGGCCCAAACGCAGTACCCTTAAGTCTAAAAGTGAGGTGAGCCAGCTTGCCCTGGTGGACCAGGACTGAGAAAGATTCTTGGTCCTTTTTCAAGTGCAGTACTTGTTTTTTGGATGAATGAAATGCTGTTTCCTGTTCATATCTGCAGGTGGATCTCACAGTATCTTTTTCATTTTGCAACTCAAAGCAGATGTACACTGGGATCCCTATCATTGCTGCCAATATGGATACTGTGGGTACCTTTGAAATGGCCAAGGTTCTCTGTAAGGTAGGACTTCTCTTATGCTGCTTCCTCAATGGTGTCCAGTTATGTGAGCTGACTTCAGAGTTATTTGCATCCGCATCCGCATCCTAGGTCAACTCAACAGCAATTACCAGTCTGGATGCTACAATTTACTATTTTCTCCACTACTAAGGCCCCTTTATCTGGTTAGTTTAAAGAGCCATGTGAGTTAATGAGCTCTGAAGCTAAGTTTTGCTGCCATTTTTCTGATATATAAATAGAACTTGCCCTTTCTCCTGTCCAGCAGTTTATACACCTTGCCAACTTTTCCCAGCACCCAGGTCACCCTCTCCAAATAACATGCACCTCTCCAGTTGCAGCATTGTTAGGAAACTAAACATTTACTGTTTTAGTCCAGAAACTAAATACAGTTCGAGCATTCAAAAATTCCTAACTAGAGGACCCTAGAGAGAAGAAACTTACTCATTTTTATTTTATGCCTTTTAAATTTTTTAAAGAAAATCTTCAAGTCCTAGGTATATAGGAGTTTCTGGGATGTGCCCAAAATGGAATGTGTTTTTCTTATATGCAGGTTATTGTTCACTTTCAAAATAGAAGATGCTACTCTTGTCAGTAATGTTACCTGCCTCTGTACTTACAGCTGAGAAGGTAGATAGTTATTCTGGGCACTCCGAGAACATATGCACTCTTCTGGTTATCCATAGTTGATGGATTCTGCTGCTGAGTATGGCTCTGTTAGCCTGAAGGACTTCATCTCCTTTTCTCTGTTTTTGATTGCTGTAAGTCTTTGTGGAATGTCTGCTGTCATTTCTCTGAGGTCGATGGTTATTGTTTTAGTATTGTATTGTATAGTATTGTATTGCTGTTGCCATGAATAGTCCTAACTATTTAGGACTCCTGCTGATGCCTGTCTAGGTGAGGAATGGTGAATCTGACTGCAGTGTTAATAGACATGCTGTCATATATGTGGGCACTTGCTTGATCTTTTATGTTGAGACTGGCTTTTCAGTACTGCTGATGCATGCCAAAGCAATCAGATTTTAGAGATAGAGCCAAGTCTCAAAAAAATAATGAAACAGTTGGATGCAGGCATGCATCTTTTTCTAAATCTTCAGCTTGGTAAGTATTTGGACGTGCTTATCATGCCACACTGTACCAATGTATCTCCAAGGTCTGTTGACCTCCTAGAGTGATTTTGTCAGCATGTTGATGGCAGAGTGTTGCTGAGAAAGCAGAATTCAATACCAGCTAGGTAGTATTGATCTCTGACTGCGCATAGCGTAACATTGTTACTGCTGGCTGATACATGACTTCCTTGGATTTCTTGCCAGTTGCAAGACTTGAGTTGTCTCAGTCAACTGCTGTCTCATCTGTTTGCATGTCTGTGCTTATATTTTTATATTTTTAATTATAGTTGACATATATTATTGTATTAGTTTCAGGTGTGCATGTGTACACTTTTAAAACACAAACACCAGCATTCACAGTGGCCTTTGAATGCCTTTCTCAAAGTATTGTGATATTGTTTGTAATTTGTTGAACTAGGAAATATGAGTCCAATGAGTCATTATATCCTTGAACTTGGTTGACTGAAATAGACTGAATGTAAGTTTTCAGATTGGTCTGTGTCTATAGAAAATCTGTTTCTTATTACAGTGGAGATGGAGAAAGGATGGGGTGATACCTTATTGTCTTCATTAACCGTAAGGCTTTAACCTTTTGTGAGCATTTAGACTCACGGAATTACTGCAGGTAAATCACTGAGAAGATACCATAAATAATAGGTCAGGTGTTCTACTGGGTTACTGTAGAAGGAAGGGCTGAGATGGTATAGGGAGACACTGGCTCTGTCTGGCGTCTGCATGGTTCTTTCTTGTCTTACTACTTGTCCTGCTGCACCAACAGCTTGTCCTAGTCACCTTTTAAGTCAGTAGCACTGTATGCGTTAGCAGGTGAAATCTGAACCATACAACTTAGTACTTGGTGGGAGTATCTGGCAGCACTAGATTATGGTAAAAAGTCCTACTGGATTTTGTAAAAGTTTTTTTTCCAGACTTCAGTCTTAGTCTCCCTCAGAATAGTATAAAGGTCTGTTTCTAGAAAAAGAGACCCTATTAAAGTTCTCCTTTTTGATGACTCTCTTTCATCTTCTCAGTTCTCCCTCTTCACTGCTGTCCATAAACACTACAGCCTCGAGCAGTGGAAAGAGTTTGCTAGCCAGAATCCTGACTGTCTAAAGGTAATAGTGGTCCTCCCCGATCCTTTCCGCATTCAGTTTTCCAGGAACCTCTGCTTGGCTTCCTGGGTTCAACCCTTACCGCCCCAGCCGTGTTGGCTGCCCAGCAGGTCATTTCAGACATGCCAATGCCCGTTTACTCCACAGCATCTGGCTGCCAGCTCAGGCACAGGCCCTTCTGACTTGGAGCAGCTGGAGCAAATCCTGGAAGCTGTTCCCCAGGTGAAATATATATGCCTGGATGTGGCAAATGGCTACTCTGAACACTTCGTTGATTTTGTAAAGGATGTGCGGAAGTCCTTCCCTGAACACACCATTATGGTATGTTTGGTACCTCCATCTCCTTACATCCTCTTTTGTGCCACTCCACTTTTTGTTATATCAGTTCCTTTCTCCTCTTCTGCATTATGATTTTCCTGGTCTGCTTAGTCGTGTCACTGGGTGATTATCCATGGTTCTGTGCTTCACATGTTTGGTTGCTGGTCGTTGCAGTCTCCGACCCTGATACACAGTCTTGGAGATCTGGTGTTCCTGCCGTCACTCACCAAACCTTGTGTTTATGCGCTGTCCGCACCTGTGATATGTGTGCACCTGCCTACTGAAGTGGATCTAGTACTATAATTCCATTAAAGGGATCACGTACAACAATGTTTTAGTTTCGTTTTTACAAGCTTAGGAGTGATGACAAGGCCCCATTTTCTTCATTGCATTGAGGAATCTTTTTCCCATCCATCAGAAACAAATACAGCTATGTAGATGAGTATTTGGCCTACATTACTATGTCTTTCCCCAAGCCAAAGAGGTTTTATGACCAACGGCTTAAGGGCAGGATATGTTTGGGTCTCTTGGGGAGATAACTTCACTGTAAATCAGATTTAATCTTGGTCCAGTTGGACCCCAGCTTTACCCTAGTGCAACAGTGACACTGGCCACTAACCCCTTACCTCAGCTGGGGAAGCAAGGTCCTTTGAAGTAGCTAGTCTAAAAGCTCTCAGAGGGTCCCGTAGAGGGAACCCAGCTACCCACTTCTTTTTAATAATGTTGGAAGGTCTGGGTCCAGGCATGCTATAAATGAGAGTACACAACTTTCTCATTTCTTTTTTTAAAGCATTTTCTTTACTACTCTCTTATTTTTCTTTTTAAAAACATTTTATTTATTTTTGGAGACAGGAGTAGGGAGGGAGAAATCGAGGGAGAGAAACATCTAAGTGTGAGAGACACCCGCTCAGTTGCCTCCTGCATGTCCCCAACCGGGGACCTGGCCCACAACCCAGGCATGTGCCCTGACTGGGAATCAAACGGGGATCCCCTTCAGTCTGTGGGATGACACCTAACCCACTGAGCTACACTAGTCAGGGCTCCTCTTCATTTCTGACCCTAAGAATGCTGTTCTGATTGCTCTGTTCCAGGCGGGAAATGTGGTAACAGGAGAGATGGTGGAAGAACTGATCCTCTCTGGGGCTGACATCATCAAAGTAGGAATTGGACCAGGTACGCTGGCTCACTGGGGGACCACTGGCTACCTCTTCGGTGGCAAAACCTTATGAACACTTCACTCTCATCCTCATCACATTCTTCTCAGGCTCTGTGTGTACCACCCGGGAGAAAACTGGAGTGGGGTACCCACAGCTCAGTGCAGTGATGGAGTGTGCAGATGCTGCTCATGGCCTCAAAGGCCACATCATCTCAGTAAGGCCCACGGGCAGGCTAGGGTGTGAGGCTGCCAAACATCTGGGTGTTCTGTTGGGTGTGGAAGCTCTGATAGAGGTGGGTCAGGACTTCTGGGTTCCTGTCAGCTTTGAAGTGGGCTGTTGAGACATCGCTGAGAGGGCTAGGGAAATCCAGGCAGTCTCTTTACATTGCTTCTTTCTTGGTAGGATGGAGGCTGCAGCTGTCCTGGTGATGTGGCCATGGCATTTGGTAAGGGCACTGGGAGGGCACAGAAGGATCCATTAGAAGAGGAGGAGTCACCTTTGAGGGTCTAGGATCAGGCTGAGAAAGGCTGAGGAAGCCATTCAGATTCTTTCATAATATGAACTCGTGACCCAGAAGCTTGTGATGTCCTTTGTGGCAAATCAGCTGAGACTCTGATACAGACTCTCCCAAATGTGGGCCAGGGCCATCTGCACCATCTCCTGGACTGCTGGACAATGTAAATGACTAAACCTCAGACTTAACAGAATCCAGGTCTGGAGAATGGGGCTGCACATCTGCATTTTTTACAGCTTCCCAGGTGATCCTTGTTCACAGTAAAGTTAGAGACTTTTTGCTCTTAGAACACTTGAAATGAGTCTTACTCAGCTGAGCACAGTAAAAGAAATGACCAGAAGATGGCCAAAACCAGCCAAAAGGAGAGAGCAAAGCCAAGCAGGGAATCTCTGTGCCACACTGGAAGAGTTGTCTTGGGCTACACATTAAATACATCATGACATGTAATCACAAAAAATCTCATAATGCTTTAAGTAAATTTAGGATTTTGTGTTGAGCTGCATTCACAGCCGTCCTGGGCTGCATGCAGCCCATAGGCCACAGGTTGGACACTCCTGTTAGTGGCTTTAAAAAAATTATTTTTAAAAATATTTTATTTATTTTTAGACAGAGGGGAAGGGAGAAAGGGAGAGAAACATCAGTGTGTGGTTGCCTCATGCAGGCCCCGCACTGGGACCTGGCATGCAACCTAGGCATGTGCCTTGACCAGAAATCGAACCAGTGACCCTTCGGCTTACAGGCCGGTGCTCAATTCACTGGGCCACACCAGCCAGGATGCTTTTTAAAGTTTTGTGAAGTCAGGAACAGAAGCCAGGGCAGAGCAGGCCTCTGTGAGTTATAGACCAGCTAGGAAAACAAAACCAGGGAGACGCTGGAATCAGGACAGAATTTGGTGTGGGTTGCTTCTGAGCGAGGGTGGGTATGTGGGCATCTGAGCCAGATTCATCTGTTTCCTGCCTCACTGATAGGGGCAGGGGCTGACTTCGTTATGCTGGGTGGCATGCTGGCGGGGCACAGTGAGTCAGATGGTGACCTCATCGAGAGGGATGGCAAGAAGTACAAGCTCTTCTATGGAATGAGTTCTGAAACAGCCATGAAGAAGTATGCTGGGGGCATTGCTGAGTACAGGTATGTATACAGGCCCAGGAGCTGAGGTTCTTGGAAGGTGTGACAAAGTAGGGTGGTGGCAGAACTCAGGGTTGCTGGGAGATGGATGGTGTGGTTGAGAGAAAAGTGGTGAACTAGGGTCAGATGCAAGAGACTGGGGAAGAGTCACTGAGCTTAAGGAATTTGGAAAGAAAACGTCAGAAAATTTTTCCTCCTCAAAGGGCCTCAGAGGGAAAGACGGTGGAGATGCCCTTTAAAGGGGATGTGGAACATACCATCCGAGACATCCTTGGAGGCATCCGTTCCACATGTACGTATGTAGGAGCAGCTACGCTAAAGGAGCTGAGCCGGAGAACCACCTTTGTCTGTGTCACCTAGCAAGTGAATCCAGTCTTCGGAGACGTGAGCTAGGCCTCAGCAGTTCTGCCCTCCCAAGGCAACAGCACCTCATCACAGGGCCTCCCAAGACGGCCCCTCATTCATCCCAGCTACTATGACTACTACTTGGTAATCTCACCTCTGAGAGTTCATGCAGTAATGCTGTACTTCTGTCTGCATCCGCAAAATGCCCAGCACGCTCACTGGGGAGGAAGCAAGGAAGGCAGGCTGAGAAAACAAAGTTGAGATAATCAAATGGGAACTGGGGGACCCAGCTCCTGAAGATTATTGAAAGAAGAAGATACTGATTCATATGCAAGTGATTTATGTATAGCCACGGTCTTGTAAGCTTTTAGAATCATGTTTTGCTAATCAGGTTCATTAAATAGGATCTTTGAATATTTAAAAAGCTCAGAAGTGTTTACATAAATTTAAGTATCTCTATAAAGAGAGATCCCAATGACTGTAAAGAGATTCCGGGGTTTTCTGCACAAGCCTGGCATCTGGGTGGTGCTCCAGGGCAAGTAGAAGTGGAGGTGGCACTGACCCAGTGGAGGTGATGACAGTGAGTACTTTTCCCTTGAAGTAACTCCATTCGAGTGCCATGTGCTGCCCCCCTGCCCCCCGCCCCGGGACCTGGCAACATGAGGATTTACAGAGTGTATACTCTGGCATCAAGACAGATATTTTCAGAATAGCGAAAGGAGATTTCTCATCCAGGTTCTCAGCCCCGGAAATCTTTCTGACACTTCTCAACAATGCTTTCCAAGGGAAGTAAAGGGCAAAGGAATTCTTTTAGACCTGGAGAGTCCACTTCTGTTTCTAAGGGATGATCTACACTGACCTTACAGAAGTCTTAATTCCCCCTCCTTCATACCAACACAGTGTTTTAACAAATCCAGAGTTTAATTCCCAAGCATTACAGAGTGATTTGGGCAATGTAGTCAGGCAATCCAAACTTGGGCTTCCACTTTATTTCCACTAAACTGCCTGTAGAGGTGAGGAGGAAGACAGGCAGGTTACAGATGGCATTCCAGGCCTATTAGAGGAGTCTTGTATGGTTATGGGAAGGGACAGACACAGCACTGGGGCTAGAAGCGGGGAAGTATTCACAGAAGGTGGGGATTAGGGTGTGAAACTTTGTCTTCTCATAGTTTTCCAGAGACTCCTGCAGAGAAGAGAGCAAGGAGATCCTATCATCATCTAGAACAGTGCCTGAGCCCTCCATATTCTGGAGCACAGGGATTTCTGCCTTGTTCTGCCCCAACCCCTTCCTTCCTCAGCTTTCTGTTCCTTCCTACTCACCATTCCTTCCCTCTGGCCATTTTCTTCCTCGTCAGAGTCCAAAACCAAGTCCCCTATGGTAATGACAGGGCTGCACATAGATGGAGGACACACTGCAGGACGGAAACCAGAGTCAGAGTACTCTTCTAGGTGAACACAGGCCCTTAAGAATCCTCAAACCCTGATGGGTGTAGCTTAGTTGGTTGGGTGTCCTCCCGCAGAGTGAAAGGTTGCTGGTTCAATTCCCAGTCAGGGCACATGTCTGAGCTGCAGATTCAGTCTCCACAAGGGGACTGTGTGAGAGAGACCTGATCAATGTTTCTCACACCAATGTTTCTCTCCCTCTCTCCCTCCCTTTTCATTCTCTCTTAAAAGAAGTCCTCAAGCCCTGGCTGGTATAGCTCAGTGGATTGAGCACAGGCCTGCGAAACAAAAGGTCGAGGATCGATTCCCCGTCAGGGCACATGCCTGGGTTGCAAGCCAGTTCCCAGCAGGGGCCAGTTCCCAGCACGGGATGCACCAGAAGCAACCATACATTGATATTTCTCTCCTTCCCTTCTAAAGATAAATAAATAAAAAAATTTAAAAAAGACTAGAAATGTAAAAGAAGTTAAAAAAAAAAGTCCTCAAGAGGCTGTCTGATCCAGTCCTGACTCATTATACCTACCTGGCTTCCTGGCCCTAGGAGATGAAAGTGACAGTGTCGGGGGCTCCAGGGGGCAATCCCAGCAATTCCTGGGGTGGTAGCAAGCAAAGAAGATTCAGTGAAGGGAAAGCAAGTAGGGCATGGGCTGCTAATAGGGAGAAGCAACTGTTTACTCACTCCTTTTGCTCCATGGCAGACAAGTCAACTGGGTTCTCCTCCATAGCACTTCTGCCCAGGGTCTGGGGTGGACTCCTAGACTTTCCAGTGGGGATTGCTCTCGTGTGGACGTCACCTGCTGGAACTGCCACGTGTGTTCCTTGTTCTCCTCTGTTGTCAGGTTTAGATATGACCTGAGTTGGTGAACCCAGATTCCTAAAGGGTAATAGCATGGCTGTGGGGCGCTCCTTATTGCCTACCCTAGTGTTTGCCCACTGGGAATGGATTCTTCGCTGGCCTAGAGGGGCCAGATTGAAGTGGTGGCCAACCAAAGGTTCTGGGTGCTTCCTTGAGGCTGGTCCCTGAGGAAGGTATGGGCCAGGCTTGGTTTTTGGCAGAGGATGGTGGAGTGCTGGTCCTGGTTGCTGAGGAGGACTTGGCTCCATGGGCTCTGTCATGTTCACTGAATTTGTAACAGGGCACTCTAAAAAGAAAACAATGTTCTTTATAAAGAGAACACATCACCTTAATCTGGTTTCTTATGTCTCTGGCCCATGTAACCCTTCTAATGGGCTGGTTGTCTCAAAAGGTCTCAGGCTAAACACTCCACCCCAAAATTCCTAATTCTCCCAGATGTCCTAGTACCTGGAAGTGGCCACCCCATGTCCACACCATACTGGCTCAAAGCAAAAGAAGAAGTGATAGAAACTCCAGGCTGCATCCAACTCAGCACATCCTGAAGCTGTGGGCAGAGGAAGAGGCATGAAAACTACAGTCTTTCATCCAACCAGCCTGCACTCTGCCCTGTGTTTTGCCCCAGGAAAACCTGCTGAGTCTGTGGTGCAGGCAGTGCTTTTTCCAGTTGACACAAGTATTCAAAAAACAGCTTTTCCAAAGCAGTCAGAAAGGGTTCCCCATACTCTTGTTCAAGTTCCTGACAACAGAAAAAAGCAGGTCAGAATAGGACTAGAGAAAATAGCCACATCATAGCTTCCAAACCAGCCAGTCTCACCTGCAACTTCCAAGCCAGATCCACAGGGGCTTCTGCCAGCTGCTTCACCTGCTGGCGAAAGGCTTCCTGTGCCTCCGAGATCTTTCTGAGATCCTGTTTTGTCTGTTGAAGGTAAAGAAGGCAGAGAGACCAGTTAGGAGAACCAGGTGACTAGGAGGAGGAGCAATTTTGTTGCACAAAGGGTTACTGGGGGGTGGGGATTATTCCAGGGATCACTCACCGCTTTAGGATCCCTCACTACAGGTCCAGACTCTGGGAAGTGCTGATGCAGGGTATTCAGAACCTGGGCCCAAGGCCGGCCCTGGATGATCAGCTCCACCACCACCTGTGAATGGTACTGAGCTCAGGGTCCTCACTTCGGGACAAACTCCTCTTTGGCAACCGTTCTCACCCCCAAAGCGGTCGTCTGCCCGGTCAGGTCCCTGCAGCCCGCCTCTTCCCCTGGTCCTTTCCCTGGTCCCAGTGGCTCTAATACCTTGGCCTTTAGGCCCATACACAGGCGTTCGTGGTGACGGTAGCGAACCAAGCCAGGTGCAGCAGCGCGCAGGGACTGAAGAAACTGCAATACTCGTGGAAAATGTTCCACGCAGCGTCTGCGCAAGACTATCCAGCTGGCAGCGGCTGCAAAGCGCAGAGAAGCCGGACCCGCTCCCCGGGGCGTAGCCATGGCCCGGGTGCTCCGCCCCGAGGCAGCACTCAGATCCTCTCCTCCACCGCGAGATTTTCTAGCTCCGCCTAGGGGCGGGGCTTCCAACCGCCTTTCGCTGCTGGGACGTTTCGTTGGCGCCTTATCCTTCCTATCCGACTCAGCATCCTTCCATAGACCACCAGAATTTTGGAGATCTCTAAGTTGGGCAGGAGCCCGAGCGGAGAGTCTAGCGGGCTTCAATGGCACCAGGTCACTCGTTCTGCCTTAAACGGCACCGTTGTCTCCACCCGAGAGCTACCGCGCTTCCGGTCCTGCGACCAGTTTTCTCTACCCGAAAAACGGGTAGTAATGGATAACCAATGGGCCGCGGGCAAAGGAAAACGTGATGTCGCGTCATAAGGCCCCGCCCCGCTGGTTCCGGCCCCGCCTGCTGTCAGATTCATTGGTATGTTGCTAGGCTGCTTTGACAGGGGGTCTCCTGCGCATTTTCGCGGGCCCTGCGTAGAAGTCGCGTCCCTCTCTAAGGTTTTACATTCTTGTCTGTAAAGCGGCATTATGCTGCTTGTCCTCTCCATCATCATCACCCACTGAAATACGATTCCTTAAATCCCAGTCCCCAAACTGGAGCTACAAAGCCTCCCTGGGTGGCGCGCAACTTCTAGTAAGAATTCAACTGTTCCTTTTACAAAGCAGGAGAGGGCGCCACCTTTTAAAAGTTTGAAAGGATACATAAAGGGCTAAATGGTAATGGAAAAAAAAATACAGTAAAGATTAAATAATTTAAAAAGATATATGATATTGTTAAACTGGTCTTCTCTGGATGGTAACACTGTAGGTAATTTATGTGCTTTTCTGTATTTTTTTGCTATCATGTAATTTGAAAATAAGAAAATGTAAAATAGTTTCCTTTTCCAAATTTCTGTTTTGCATTCACTCTAGACATCTAATGTAATTGATTGTTTTGTCTCCTCGTCAGCTTTCCTGATGTCTACTTATTTCCATCACCAAGTACAGAACCTGGCGCACAGTGTATATTCTTTGTCGGTCGAATGAATCACCTGCCCTGATTACCTTACAGGGCTTTTGTGAAACTATCCTTTCCATGGGCTATCTCCTCTCCTGGAGTTATGGTTCCCATTTTCCTCCCTGTCTCCAGGACCTCCAAGGTCTGAGGTGATCCACATACTCAGCTGCCTGTGGGACATCTAGTTGGAGGTCCTAAAAATATCCAAATTGGCTAGTTATTAAATTCTAGTTATTTCCCTTTTAATTTTCCCTTTATCTTTTTCTGTGAAGTCCTTTTTGATGTAGATCTGAGTTTCCGACCCATACTATTTTCCTTCTTTCTGAAAAAATTTAACATGTTTTGCAAGTCAGGTCTCCTGGTGACACATTTCCCTGGTTTGTGTTTGAGGAAGTTTATTTCTCCTTCAATTTTAAAAAATAACTTTGCTGGTTACAGAAGATTAGTCTGCTGGGCATTTTTCCTTCAACGTGCTAAATATTTTCTTCTTATTTGTATGCTTTCTGAAGAGAAGTCTGATGTAGTTCTTATCCTTCTTCCTCTGTAGGTAAGGTGTCTGTGCTTCTAACCCCCAGGCTTTAAGATTTCATCTCAGTTTTCTGTTTTCTGAGGTTTGCATATGATATGCCTAGGTGTAGATTTTTATTTTTTGGTTTTTATCCTGCTTGGTGTTTTCTGAGCTTCCTCTATCTGTGTTTGCCATTAATTTTGGGAAATTCTTGGTATTATTACTTGAAATATTTCTTCTGTTCCTTTTCTCCTCCTGGTATTTTCATGTGTGTTCTACACCTTTAGTAATTGCCCCACAGTTCCTAGATATTAATTTGTCTTTTTCTTTGCATTTCAGTTTTGGAAATTTCTATTGACATTTAGCTGGTTTACCGATTCTTTCCTCAGCTGTGTTCCTCTCTTGATCAGCCTGTCAAAACCGCTCTTCACTTCTATTAGTGTCATTTCCAGCATTTCCTTCTGGTTCTTAGTTGATACCTCTCTGTTTATACTACCCACCTGTTCTTACATGTTATACACTTTGTTCATTAAATTTCTTAACATATTGATCATAGTTTTAAATTCCTGCTCTGATAATTCCAGTATCTCTGCCATATCTGAGTCTGGGTCTGATGCTGAGTCTGTCACTTCAAAGTGTATTTTTTGTCTTTTAGTATGCCTTGTAGTTCTTTTTGGAAGTTGAATGTACTGGTAAAAGGAACTGAGGTAAATACACCTTTAGTGTGAAGTGTTCTGTTCACCTGGCCAGGAGTTAGTCTGAGTTGTTTACTGCAGCTGCAGGTGTCAGAGGCTAACATGTCCTGCGGTGGCATCACCGTCTCCCCTGTTGTTCTGGGTTCTCCAGCAATGTCTTTAATAAGATCTGAGATGCGCAGGTCCTTCCGTTGTATCCTCTGGTACTGTCCAGGTCAACCACCATCATAGTGACTATCAGGAGGTACGGGAATATGGCCCGAGGATCACGAGGACTAAGAAATCAAGATGGAGAGGTAAAGGAACAAAGGGCACTGTCATGGCAGTGTGGTTTTGACTATTTCATGTTGGCACAGTGGTCAGCTTAAGGAATTTTGTGGTTTTTTAAAATTTTTTGTGGTATTTTTTAAGAGGAGATTTAATGTAACGATAGTATAGAACTGCTTTGTTTTTTAATCCTCAGCTGTAGATATGTTTGTTGGTTTTAGAGAAAGAAAAAGGGAGAGAGAGGGAGAGAAAGAGAGAAACATTGATCAGTTGCCTCCTATATGCACCCACTGGGGATCGAACCCACAACCCAGGTATGTGCCCTGAATGGGGATTGAACCTGCAACTCTTTGGTGTATGGGAGGGCGCTCCAACTAACTCAGGCACCTGGCTAGGGCCTTGGGGATTCAATATTTTGACTTTGGAAATATGTTTTTAGTTCCATTGACCCTATCTGACATAAACAGTCCTTTCTGGCATTGTACTGAGGAAGAAATAAAACTTATTTATGCTTTACATCATTACAACCTAAAGATATTTCCAAAGTACAGGGACAGGCTGGCTTCACACTATCACAGAAAGCTTTCACTAAAGTGGCAGTGATACTTGACACTTGTTAAGGGAGCTCCCGTGGACCTGTCTTGTATAGGACCTGAGGTCCTCAATGAAGACTCCAGAGCAACGTGCTCTGAAGACCATCAAGCTGGCTCTGTCGGGCTGCAGCGCCCTCTGAATGCGTAGCACTGCAGGGACAGGCCCCTCAGTGCTGAAACAGGTCAGTGGCTGATTGAATAGGATGTAATCTGCTCAGTCAAAATTGAGGTGCTGTGAGGGAGAGGAAATCTATTGCCTATCCTACAAATATCCCTGAATCAGAACAAAAGACATTTCTTCTGTAATATACATCCTTTTATTTTGTATGGGGAGTTCAGCTCCATTATAATATTATGGGACCGCTGTCGCATATACAGTCCTTCATTGACCAAACATCATTGTATGGCATAGGACTTGTCTTGTTTACTCATCCAGACTCCCTCCCACCACAGGATCTTTGCACAGGCCGCTCCTGATCTTGCTTCCCTCTCTGCATATCTTCCAGGGTCATCTATTTAGGTAAAGCTTTCCTGACCATCAACACCAGGCTAGGTCCTATGCCTTCACTGTAAACTGCAGAGCTGGCTACTCTCTTTTGTCTCATGCATTTATTATTTTAATATTTCTCAGACTAAATTCCATAGGGCAGGAACTAGATTTGCCCTGTGTTCAAGCACTTGCCCAGTGCTTGGTGTATGTCATTAAATGTTGGTAAGCGGGTGAAGAAATGGGCCCATTAGCCTTCCCCGTACCTGGACCCTACCAGTCAGAGTCACCGAAACAGTTCTGGTCCAACTGTGGCTGAAAATCTCTTTCTGGAGTGGACCTTAGAACAGCTGAAGCTAGCCATTGTTTTAAATGTTAACTTTATTTAAATAAAGTGCAATCACTATAGTGTGATCCATACATCTGAGAAACCTAAGTCATATTTTATAAATTAAAAAAATATGTTATTGTTTATGCTACAGCAATTGTCCCAATTTTCCTCCTTTGCCCCCCCAGTGCCCCACCCCAATTTTGTCTATAAATTTGTGATTAGTTTTGCCTTACTTGTTTTTTATCAGGAACATAAAAATCTTCCTTTTGGTGTTTTTAACTCTCCCAGAATTTTCCAAGAAACCTCACCAACAGTGCAGGCCTTACCGCTTCCGGGCTTGCTGGGGAGAGGTCTGCTGCCCTCAGGGTCCCTGTACTTTTTCCACCCACTTGGTGTTTTCTTACAAAACCGGCGGCAGGGGTTGGTACCTGAGCTCTCAGAATTTTACCCCCAGATCCAGACTTTGTTCCATGAGTAAAGAGGCTATAGGAACTTCCAGTGTTAGCCACGGGCTTTGCCAAATCAAACCTACCAACATAGTGTGGCGTTGGTGGTATCATGGTGAGCATAGCTGCCTTCCAAACCCACCAACGTGAGGTTCAGGGACCCTCAAGTCCAGCCCAGTTTTCCAAGCCTGGGATGGTCCCCTGCTCTGCTGTTGGGCTTCAGTTGAAGTTGCCATAGTCCACACTAATCTTCTTAACTTTAAATCTTGAGGCAGAAAGAAACAAGGAGAATATTGGTTCTTTATACTCAAGAAATGGGCAAAGAACCCACCTTTTCCCTAGGGATGAACTTTGTATACTGGGTGTCCCAGGAGAACCAAAACAAGTTACCGAGACTCAGCAAGTGACTGACTCGTCACTGCCCAGGGACACTGACTAAGGGGGCAACTCTAGTCAATTTCTTGAAACCAAGACTAAGAACACCTTCTTTTTTAACAACAACAACAACAACACACACTCACACATTTGCTTTGTATATGTGAAGGAAATTATCATATAAATCTACATTTTTATAGAATAATTTTTTATGGAATAAATAATTCATATAAAGTGGTATAGAATAGGTTTTCCTAGTAAGTTTTCTGAGGTACAATCCCAGTAGGAGCTCTGCTTGGATGGTCATTACTGGGCCCCTTGGGGTGCCCATGGATCTCCCTCTTTCCCTCTTGCTCCTGTCATCCATCATGCATTTTTCCTACAAATGCTCCAAAACACAATCCTCCGTTGCTCCTCCCAGCTTCCAGACTCCCCATCACCATCTGCTTTAGTCCATCTTCCATGCAACAGATATTTATTGAGCACTTACTATGTGTCATGGACCGTGAATCAGCCATGAGTAAGAGAGAGGAAGTCCCTGACCTGGCTGGTGTGGCTCAGTGGATTGAGTGCTGGCCTGTGAACCAAAAGGTTGCTGGTTTGATTCCCAGTGAGGAAACATGCCTGGGATGTTGGTTGGGTCCCCAGTTTGGGGTGTGCGAGAAGCAACCAATCTATGTATTTCTCACACATCGATGTTTCTCTCACTCTCTCTCTCCTTCCCTTCCCGTCTCTCTAAAAATAAATAAATAAAATCTTTAAAAAAGAAAAAAAGAACTGAGAGAGAAGGTCCCTGCCCTCATAAGGCTGACATTCTAACAGGAAGGGATCTAGAGGCCTAAGGCCGGAACAGGTGAAGCTGGGACAACAGGGGTTCTAACACCCACATCTAGAGAAATAAAGGAGGTGATACCCCTTAAAGCACCCAATTGGAGCTTAACTCATAGTAGGAACTCAGCATGAATTTGTTCCTTTCCTTCTGTTTGGAGGCTAGCATTGCCTCCCTGCTGTTTGTTTGCTGTTTGAGGATTTCAAGCATTTGGGGCCTCTAATAAACAGGGGATCAGGGTAAAGTGAACAACTGTGAAGCGAGTTCCAAAGTTGTTGGAAATCTTCAAGTCTCACATTTTCTCCCAGGTGTTCAATGAAAAGAGATACTGTTGTGTTACTACTCAATCTTTCTGGGAACCAATTTAATAAAACATATCAACCATCTTAAACATGCCACCTCTTGCAAATCATGGCCTTTAAATGTGTAAGTAGCAGACAGTTTTTGAGAAGCTCTGCGGTAGACCCTGAGCTAGTCCTGGGACAGTGCATGAACAAGCCAGGTAAGGTCTTAGCACTTATGGAAGTCCCATTTTAGAGAAAAGAGACAGCATTTAATAAATAAACACACAAACACACTGATGTTGAACGAGAAGTGCTAAGTAGGACACAAATAAAACAGCGAGTGCTAAAGAGACTAGGAGGCCAGAAAACGCATCAGATTGGTGGTCAGGGAGGAGCTCCCTGAGGAAATGAGACTTGAGCTGCACCCCGATAACAGGAGGGGCCCCCCACAACTCCCTGCCATACCACCTGGGGGAAGAGAGTTCATCCAGAAGGAAGAGCAGGGGCTAAGTCTCAGGTATAAGGTGGCGAAGCTGAGAAGCAGAAGCCTGGGCTGAGGTGGAAGAGCCCCAGCACGAGGTGGAGATGAGGGAAGCAAGGGCTGCAGGGCTGTGGGTCAGAGGAGGACTTTGCAGTGTTCCAAGGGCCAAGGGAAAACACCGGAAGGTCTTAAGGAGGAGAGCCCCAGGGTTCAGTTTGGAGTGTGGCAAGCTCACTGGCTGTACAGAAAGCGGACTGTTCCGGAAGAGCAGAAACTTACCAGGAGGGTGTGGCAGTTCTCCAGGGAGAGAGCGCGGTAACGGTGTAAGTGGAGAAGATGACAGACATATTTTAGAGGTAGAGCTGAGAAGACTTGCTGATGAATTTAATATTGGAGGAGAAAAAAGAGGAAGTGGGTGGCTTTGTATGTTTATGGTTTGAACAACTGGGCCACAACAGCAACACTGAGATGGAACGAATTAGTGGAAGAGCAGTTTGGTGGTGGGATTAGTCTGAGACTCTTTTAGTCTGAGATAGAACGCAGGCTGGAGAGTCAGACTACCTGGGTTCTAATCCTGTTCTAGACTGCTGAGTGACCTTTGACCAATTACCTAACCGTTTTTGCCTCAGTTTCTTCATCTGTGGAGGGGGCATCAGAATACAGCCTGCTGAAAGAGGTCATTGTGAAGATGGCAGGAGTTACTGTAGATCGATCAGTGCCTTCATTCTTACTCACTCCGCAAATATTTAGTATCTTTAGGCTCCAATTCTGAGCACACAGGAGCACATCAAACAAACATCACTGCTCTCGTGGAGTTTGTATTTTGGTTAAGGGAGGGGAGGCACAGTAAACAAATGCACCGTTCAAACGCTTAGCATGTTGGCTGGGGAGAAGTGCGATGGAGAAAAGTAACTCAGGGAAAAGTGGTAGTGAGGAGTGGAATGGATTGCAATTTAAAACAGGAGGGCCAGGAAAGGCCTTACTAAGATATTTGAGAAAGACCTCAAAGGAGGGGGGCGCCAGCCGTGTAGACATGCGGGGTAGGCGGGTGGGGAGAGTGTGCCAGGCGGGGGAGAGAGCCTCAGGTGGAGGCTTCAAGAAACAACAAGGAAAGTGACAAGGGGGTAGGGGGATAAAATTGGAGGGCTCTGAGGGCCACGGGGAGGACCACGGCTGTTGTTCTGAGAGGTGAGGAGCCACTGGGGGTGGGGGTGGGTCAGTGACACAACCTGACATTTAAAAATATCTCTCTGGCGGCCAAGTTGAGAACAGACAGGGTCAGGGGAAGGCTAGTGCTTCAACCCAAGTGAGGGAGGACTAGGATGGGGCAGTAGCAGCAGGGAAGATTTGGTAACAAGTAATACAAAGAATTCAACATACAGAGCATCGGGTGGTGATGTGTGCTATGAAAGAAAAGGCACAAGGGGGAGAGGGAGTGTGAAGGATGTTACAAATTTATTTATATATATATATTTTTACTTTTTTCAAATTGTAAGAGAAAGTTATTTAGAAGATTACAGAGGCAGCCCTGGCTGGTGTTAGCTCAGTGGATTGAGCGTGGGCCTGCGAACCAGACAATCGCGGTTCGATTCCCAGTCAGGGCACATGCCTGGGTTGCAGGCTGGTTCCCTGCAGGTCAGTTCCCAGCAGGGGATGCATGAAAGACAACCATACATTGATGTTTCCCTCCCTCTCCCTCCCTTCCCCTCTAAAGATAAATAAATAAAATTAAAAAAAAAAAGATTACAGAGGCAGCAAAAGTGAGTCAGCTGGGCTGCACGGGAAACAAGTCACAGAAGCCAAAGAAGGGGCCCTTGGAGCTTAGGAGAGAGAAAGGCAAAGGTAATGCATGCCTGAGAGGAAGAAGAGGGAAAGGGAAAGGCCACAGGCATGTTCCAGAGTCGGAAAGCAAGCTGAGGATGTTGCAATTTTAAAATGGGATGGCGGAGGTGAGGGTGCAAACCGCGGAGATGTCTGGGGAAGCACTTCTCAGCAGACTGCTGCACCCTGCAGAGGCCCCAGAGCAGGAGCGTGGCTGGCCCTGGAGGAAAGAAGGAGCCAGGACCTGGAACAGACTGAGCCCAGGGCAGGAAGGGGAGCTGAGGGCTGAGCTGCCCAGCGCTGTGAGGACATCAGCTTCGGGAGCCAGTAGAAGGTTTGGGGCAGAGGACTGACGAGATCACATTCATCTGCTCATTCTGGCTGCTGTGTGGAGAACAGAGTATCAAAGGGCGAGAGTGGCTGTGGGGACACGGGTTGGGGGCAGGGGCAACAATCCGGGTGAGAGGTGAAGGCGCTCGGCAGCGTGGTAGCTGTAGAGGTGACAAGCAGGCAGATTCTGGACACAGGGATGGGAGACAGAAACATCAAGACTCGCTGACAGACCGAGTGAGGGATGTGAGAGAGAGAGAGAGAGAGAGGAGTCAAGGCTGACTCCAAGATTTTGGGCCCAGGAAACGGAAAGGATAGAATTGCCATGTACTGATACAGGGGAGGCTAGAGACACTCGGGAGTTTGATCTCAGACCGGTTTCACTTGGTGGGGTGGTCTGTGAAATCACCCACCCATCTCCACCCATCACCCCATCTACACCCATCTCCACCCCCAGCGGAGATGTGGAGAAGGCCGCAAGTACACGAGTTTGAGGTTCAATGAAAACAGATACAATTTGGGGAGCCAGTGGTCCTGAAAACCCCACGGCTGGCAGGACTCCCCTGGGCAGAGTGGAGTGGGAGGGGAGAGAGCCTGGGCTGGAGGCCAAGTCACTCCAACACCCGCGGCTGAGCAGAGGCAGAGGCACCGGCCATGACGCCTGAGAAGGGCGGTCAGACCCGGAGGACCGGGAGGGCGGCCTGGAAGTGAACACTAGCATCCAGTTTTTAATCTGGATGCTTTCCGCCCGTATTTAATGCTGGGAGAGGAGGCTCACCAACGGTTATTTGGGGAGCGAGGCAGCACAAGAAACATGGCGTTAACGGTTCTTATCTGTACAGGGTGGTGGTTGAGGATTATTGTTAATTTCTTCTTTACAGTTGCTGGTAAACGCTGAACATGTGTTACTTTTACAAAAAGTCTTAGACAAAGATATTTGAAAATAAACATTGGGAAGTGGCTTTTGGTGCTCAGAGAGTATTCCAGCCTATTTCTACCTCAGACGTGTGCCTACAAAAGGGAATTTAGTCCTTCTCTCCCACAGTGGGTGCCAAGGGAAGGGGCAGTCCCACTCAAACCCAGCGGCTTCAAAAGGGCTTTGGGAAGTAGAAGCACCCTGGGATGGGGGTGGGGGTTGGTCAGACAAGCACGGGAGGCCTTCACGATGCCAAGCAGGTCCGATCTCAAGAGCTGCTGAGCTGGTCTCACCTGACCTGCCAGCCATGCTTCTCAGAACCAGGGGCGCCAGAAATGCCACATGTGTCCCTGGAACACGGCTTGATCCAGCATGGACTGACAGATGGACAAACAGCAGCTTCATTAAAAAACAGTTTATTAGCTCCTGTGCCACCCAGGGCAGGTGAAGATGGGCTCCCTCCCCGCTGTCCTGGCCTCCCCGCCTGCACCCCGGAGAGCCGGACCCCTGTCTCATCGAGGCGGTGTCCTTGTTCATCTGACTCCAGTCCTGTTGCTCCTGGCCCAGGGCTAAGCCCCACCTCGAGAAGCCATAGGAATGCTTTCCTCGGCGCGACTGTTGTCTCCAGTGCCTGAGAAGAAGCCCCCACTCCCGGAAGCTGGGGCCACGTCCACCTGGATGACGCCATGCACCTGCGAGAGCTGTGGGCTGTCCAAGCTGGCAATGAGCTGTCGGGGGCCAGGTCGCACAGGTACGAACGTCTGGCGCAGTGTCACCGTCTCGTTGCCCCCAATGTCCCTGTGGGCAGAGAGAGGGTCACGGGCCTGGGGCGACTGGGGGTGGAGTGGGCAGCCAGGAAGAAGAGGTGCAGAGGCGGAGCCCCTCAGGCACTTCTGGACTCGGCTGAATCCCCACACCCAAGACCAGGACAAAGCCTGAGTCCCAAGGCCGCCTCCACTCAGCCACATCAGCAGTCACCCACGCAGCTGCCTGAGCTAGAAATCTGCCAGTCACGCCTGGGTGCCTCCTTCTCCCACAGACACCGGACAAAACTGTTGCGCTGCTGTCTCTTACGGCCACTGCTGCCTAACCAGACCATCCCCACCCCGCACGGGGTTTCCAAGGCCAAGCGAACTTCATGTGGAGACTTGGGGCTTAAAACAGTACTGCCAAACACGGCCGGTTTTACCAAAAAAGAAAGTGGAGAAAAATTAATTACCCTCTGCCACAAGAATTTTTCCAAAGAAAAATTGTAATACCCCAAAACATTGAGAAAATGTTATCAGAACAAAATGAAAGTCCTTCCCAAGAACAGGTAGGTGGCATGTTTAAATTGACACACATGTTTGTGTGCATATTGACACACACACATACTTCAGTGCCTTTCTTCTCTCCCTTATTCATGGATCTCTGAAAATCTGTTGTGAGGCCACCCCTCTGGGAATCATAGTTTCACCAGCCTTCCAAATGACCTTGCCTCCCATCTCATTTTTCCATTCTCTTTGAACTTGAACTGAACCCTTCAAGGACTCGGCTTCCTTGGTGCTCATGGAATGAGACTGCAGGTCCCTAACCTGACACGCAGGCTCACTCTGACTCAGCCTGCCTGTGCGGCTGCACCGTCCCCCACCATTCCTCCTGCCCAGCAGCCCGATGGGTTCCTTCCCTCCCCTGAACCGCCCTTTCCTGTGCTTGCTCTGGCTGCCAGTGCAGGCCCACACCACCTCCTCCGGGAGGGCTCCCTTGAGCACCTCCTCCCCTCAGGAAAATGAACCTGGCCTTTCTTTGAGCTCCCTCAGCAACCTGCATGTGTGCTTCGTACACGAGATGCGACTGCATTTACACAGCACTTGCTCCTGCCTTTTAGCATCTGTCCTTTCCTGCCTCTGCCTAAACCTGTACCTCTGGCTCCCTACTCAGCCCAAGCCCGCCTTGGGGATCCTCTCTGGAGCCACACCCTGTGTGGACACCTCAGTCCTCCAAGGGAATGAATCAACACCCCAACTTCGGGGATGCGATCTCCCTGCTCAGGGCCTGCTTACAAGGGGCATCCCTGGACTGCTCTGTACTCCTTCTACCACTGTTAGCTGTGTGGCTTAGGACAAGTTACTGAACTTCTCTGATCCTCACTTTCTGGTCTGTGAAATAGAAGTGAATATAAAATAAGAGGGTGGGTTCAGATGCTCTTGAAAGTCCCTCCAAGCTTCATGAAGGAGGGAAGCAGGGGGAGGTAGAGAGATACATAAACCTAACTGTTAAGTTATGGACCTAATCTCTAGATTTTCGATCATGACAGAGAACTAGAAATTAAGTCTACAATGTAGCAGATAGGCTACACTCTGGCAGACTACAAATTTGTGTTTTTAATTTGTGCCCACTTTTCCACAGATAACAAAGGTCTTCTTGTCCTATACTGTAATCACACTGTGCTTTTTCAGGACATGGCCTTTATGTATAACATTATTCCCAAGGGGAATGGTTTTCCAGGTCTCAGCATAGGATGTCAAGGTTTCTCCCTGCCCTGGTCTATGTGGCAGGTGAGACGTTTACCCCTGTTTGTGAGTTCTAGCTGCGCACCAGCTGCCGGAGCTGGACTGTGTCTGTGACAGCGAGTTCAGGCAAGGAAACCAACTCCCTGACAGAGACACCAGAAAGCAGACATTTTTGGAGATCCAAAATTAGCACTGTCCTTCAGTTCTGCACTTGTTCAGCCATGTTGCCAGGGCTTGGAACATTATTTAAAACTCCTTTTGGATTTTTCTCCAGAGTCCATGAAAACCACACGTCACAAGCACCCAGTCACACACACACGCATCTGATCCCTTCTTTACAGCCAAGCTTTCTTTCTGATGGAGGAAGGCTGCCCTAGAGACACCCTCTAGAGAATATGATTCAGGCTCTGGGGGAAATTCCAGAGAAGGGCTTGGAACAGACTTGCAGCCTCTCCTGGTGACTGGTCTGGTGGTGACAAAAGCTATCTGGAGGAGTAAGTTCTGGAATGTTTATTAAGTGGCTAGTCACCATGCTGGGTGGCACACCTGCTCTAATGGGATTCTTTACCACAGGCTTTGATGTGCACACGGGAGCGAAGCAACACCCATCCTGGAATCCAGTATATCTGAACCAGCAGCCCAGGGACGTCCCCCTGGGGTTCTCTATGGCCCTGGTGGCCCTGGACTGAGCTGGCAGCAGCTGAGGAGCCACAGGCAAGGAGAACCTGCCTTGAGAAACCATCATCCAACTCTCCCATTTACTGGTGGGGAGACTCGGGCCTTTAAGTGGGAAGGGAGGATGTACCTAAGGCCGCAGGTGAAGAGCGGGGCCAGGCCTCCCTGCTCGCTCAGTGGTCTTTTTCTTACCCCCAGGCAGGGGCAAGACTCAAAGGTCTGGCAGGGCTGCCGATGGGAGTCTGGCTCTGGGGACCCCTCAGAACAGGAGGTCCTCCCTCCATCATTTGCAGGTGAGAGATGCCTGCGGGGGGAGCTATCGGGGAGTCCCAGCTCCACTCTCTAAGCTGCCCCAGTCTTCCAGGGGGACAGGGAAGGCACCCCTTTGTGACATACGACATCATCCAGGGTTCAGGCTGGACAAGGATCAGGGAAACAGCCTTTTCAGCTTTGTCCTGTTGGCAACAGTGGAGGCCCCCAGCGAGGCAGAGCCTGCTGTGGCTGCGTGTGGGTGGGGGAAAGAAGGGCGGGGCGGACAGGGACCGGCTGTTCCCCCCACCCAGCCCCGCCACAGGGACCACCACTTTCCCTCAGACTCTCTTTGTCTAAGGGAGAAAATGCAGGCCCCTGTCCCCAGAACACTGATCTCAAATGCCAGCCCCTGGCCTCCCCTGCTTTCCCTCCGTGCTGCTCCTGGGGAGGGACAGGGCAGTGTGTGTGGGTCTGTGTCAGAGATGGCAGCGAGGGCCCAGGACACAGCACTGTGTCAGCCCTTGCAGGACCTCGCCTGGCCCAGGATCAGGTCCAGGTGGGCTGGAAGGGGCCCGGGCTGCAGGGCCCCCTCCTCTGGAACTGCTGCTCAGCCCTCGTGGCACAAAGCAAGCAACAGGCTTGAGAGCCTGTACAGGGCGTGCGCCATGGGGCAGAGCAGAGTCTGGCCCTTGTGAACTGTGAGATGTGGCCGTCAGGTTCCCCCTCTGTAAAATGGGGCGGATGGCGGCAATGATCAAAATAAAAGCTCCCAGTGGAGCACTTTGTACCAGGCACATGCTAAATGCTTTATGCGCATCATCTCACTTAATCCTCACAATGGTCCTCAGCACTGGGTCCTGCTGTTATCCCCACGTCACAGGTGAGAAAAATGAGACTCAGAGGCGAAAAGACACTTGCCCAAGGGCACACAGCCAGTGAGTGATGGAGGTGGGACTTGAACCCGTTTTTAGGATCCCAAAGCTTTGCTTTGAACTATATGACAGTCTGTAATGTACTTTAAAGGGTTTTTATGGTCTCCCAAATGAGAAAAATATTCCTGAAAGTGCCTGGTCAACTGCTGAGTGCCGGGCAATGTTAGGGATGAGCTGCTAATGGCCCCTATGTGAAGTTTTAGCTCCCTAATGAGACGGTGAGGCGGGGCGGGGACCGGCACAGCAGCACGCACGCAGCAGGCCTCCTCAGACGTGTTGCCCGGGCTGAACTGAGTCAGGAGGTATTGCTGGCTGGCCCCCAAGCTGTGCTGGTGGACTCTGACAGACAGGGCCATCCTGACCAGGTGTGGAAGCCAGGAGGGGCCCAGGGCAGCCCACTAGGCGGGCGAGGGGACGCCAGACTCACCCCACGTTGAGGATCTTGGGCCTCTGTAACCCGGAGCCCTCGAGCCGGAAGACAACGTTGGTGAGGGTGACAGGCAGCGGGTTCTTGAAAACAATCTGTACTTCGCATTCCTGGCCGACCACAGCCGCTCCCAATAACTGAGAGAAAGACACCCATCGCCCCATCAGAGACCCCGGCCAAATACATGGGGTCCATACGCCGCACCAGAGGGGATTAAAACCTCCCTGACTCCCACGTGTCTGCCCCTGAGAGGAGGCTCTGCGTCAGCCGGCGGGGAAACTCCAAGCCGTTCCCCACCCGAACTTGCCGCAGAATCGGGGAGATGAGATCTCATCTCGCCGATGAGAAAACTGAAGTCTGGGAGCCCAGGGCCGGTCCCTGACCTGTTCCTCCTGGAACCGCTCATCAGGCCAGCCCGTTCCCGACTTGGTGCCCTGCCCCCCACTCCAGCTTCCCTACGCCCCCGGCTGTCCCGCACGCTCCAGCCAGCCACCCTCACCGTGAGGGAGAGGTCCGGGGTGCGCAGACGGAAGGTGTGCTGCTTGGCCAGCACCTGGCCGTTCTCCTTGACGTGACCTGAGACATTGAGCAGCATGGCCCCCTGGTCCACGAGGTGGGGCCGGTATTCCTTGTAGGCCACAGGCATGGTCACACGTTCCGCTGGGGAGAGGAGACATGGTGTCATGAGGGCCTGCTTCCCTGGACATGGCCTCCCAGAGTCCCCATGTCCATGGCCCTGAGTGCTGGCCATCTTGCGGGCAGGGATGGGGAAGGAACACTTACAGGCCCCCGGGGCCAGCACCACTTCCTCCTTGCTCTCCTTGAAGGTGGACCCGGTGACCCCGGTGTAGAAGGTGACTGAGAGGTAGAGGTGGAGCTTCACAGTTCGGCTGCTGCTGCTGCTGCGGTTGGTCAGCACCACACCGATCGTCAGGTCCTGCCCCATCGCTGCGTCCTGGGCCTCCACCTGTATCGTCACATCGTCGGCCGAGTCCCGGGTGGCGTACACGTTGGGTTTGCTGCCGTGGGCGGCTGCCGTTTCCACTGCCTTCCGCTCTGCTTCTGAGCCTGGGGGTTGAGGGTCAAGGTTGAGATGACCGCCACTGTGAGGGCGGGTGAGTGCTCGGTGGGCACATTTGCATGGGCCTGAGCTGGCCAGGTCGGGTACCTTCTGGGTGCTTGTAGATGTGGGTGATATCCTCCCGCATGTTGGAGCCGATGGCCTTTGTGACGATGAGCGTGCCGATGGCCTTCTCCTCCACGTACACGATCTTGAAGCTGCCATCGTCCTGTCGCTGCCAGTAAACCTTGTCACTGTTTACCTGGTGGGAGAGGGTAGGGGAGTGTGAGCAGCCACAGGGCCTGAGGTCGGATCTGACTCCAGCTACCTCCTCTTGATCCTCAAAGCAACCGGGAGCATTAGGTAAAGGCTGGGAGCCTCCTGGCAGAGCCTAACAGGGAGACTTTCCAAACTGAGTCCAACGAAGCCGAGAGCAGGGAGGCTGGTCTGGGAGGCTCCTGCCGGAGCACTTTGGCATTAATAACAGTAATCCTTTATGCTCACATTCGCTGACTTTATGACCCGTAAAGCCGTTTCATACCCAATTATTTCTTTTGATCCTGAGTGTAGGAAGCACGGCAGCCATTATTATTCCCTTTTACAGTTGAGGGAAACTAAGGCTCTTAGAATGACTTGCCCAAGGACACGCAGCTGGCTGGTCAGTGGGGAAGTCAGGGCCAGAGGGCCCAGGACTGTAGCAGTGCTCCAGCCTCCGCTCTGCTGAGGAAGGCACGTGGGGCGTGACGCTCACCTCGGCGAAGATGAAGGGCGTGTCGTACTTCATGTAGACCAGGCCGTTTTTGATGGACTCCACAGAGCAGGGGCCGCAGCAGAAGATGCCTGGGGGAGTCGGGGCAGGATGGAGGTGAGAGCTCCAGGAGGCCATGGGGGACCCTCAGATCCTGGGGAGAGGCCCGCCCGTCCAGGCCTAGTGCCCACTGCCGTGGGGTCAGCCGTCACCCCGTCCCATCCAGGGAGGAGAGACAGAGGAGTGAGGTTCCATCTGGCCTCGGTCAGTGGGTGGCAGGGCCAGTCCTGGGGACAAGCCTGTGCTGTCAGCCAGGTCATCAACACACTCGTCCTCCACTGGCTAGAGCTGGGTGTCAGCTGTCTGTGACCCCAGAGCTCAGGACCCTCTGTGTCAAGACACATCAGAGCCCACAGTAACTCTGCTTGCTAGTGGCAGACGGATAACTCCTCAGCCACGAGGCGGGGTGGGAGGCTGGTGGAAAACAGTCTGGCCGCGTCGTGCTCAGGGGCGTTTTAGGTGAGAGGGCTGACGGGGAGGAGGCCTGGCAGGAGAGACACGGACGGTGAGTGAGGGGTCTTAGAAAACACCTGGCACTGGGGAAACTGAGGCGCAGAGAGGCAGGGTAGATGCTGGATCTCACAAGACAGCTGGATGCGAAGAGCAGAGCAGCTAAATGTTTACTGTGGTCCAGGCATATTGCTAGTCTCTCTAATGTATCATTTCTCATTCGATCCTCCCGAGCACCCTATATGGTGCGCATTATCCTCATATTACAAACAAGAACATCAAAGCCCAAAGATGCAAAGAACCTGCCCAAGATGACCTATCTAAGAAGTAATCAAGCTGGAAAGGAGCCCCAGGCTGGCCGGCCCCAGAGCCCCTGCCAGCTGCCCACCTCACCACTTTCCAGAGTCAGGACCAACTCAGTTCTCCCAGTGTCCTGCGCTGGCCTTGTCCAGCATCGCTGGCATCACTGGGCTGCACAACTCAGGGGCGCTGTCCATAGAGACGGTTGAAAGGGAGGGGTCTGGCCAGAGACCAGGGGAGACACGTGGGCTGAATGAGGGCCCTCCTCCCCAGGGTGAAGAGGGGCTGGGGGGCTGCCTGGGGCTGCAGTGCTTGGGTGGGACGGGCAGGGCCTGTCTGAGAACACAGCGTACGGCAGGTCTAACTTTCGCCACCAAGTGTCTTGTGGAAAAGGTACTAGTAGGTTATGTCATCAGTAGTTAGATCTCAGGGCTGGGTACAGGGGCTGCTTTCTTCTTTGAGCCAATCTGAATCCTAGTTTTTTTATACCACACATATTACTCGCGGTGAGCAATGGAACAGACGGAAGAGGACTTGGTGAAAGTGAGAACGCACGTCAAGAAGGAAGGGAGTCAGGGACTGGCTTTGCTGTGCTGCTGACCTAATGCTCTGTGTCCTAGGGAAAGTCACCCCGCCTCTCTGAGCACCATTTCCCACGTGTCCCAAAAGGGCTGGGAGAGGGCCCCAAACCCAGCTGATCTCATCACCAGGGGAACTTTCAAATATAGATTCTTAGAATCCATCCCTGGCAGGTCTGATATGTCAGGTCTGTGGTGGGACCTACACATCTACTCACAGCAAAACAAAACGAAAACCCTCCCGAGAGAGAACAGGAAATATTAACATTTTATGCTACTCGGTTCTACACTTTTTACCCTCTCAAACATGTGTTACTTATAATAATCACTTTTTTAAACTCTAAGAATACATAAATAAAAGTGTCCTTTAATTAACTATCCCCAGAATATATAAGTAAAAAAGCAAATGAGAATAGCAGACTGATTGGGGGAGAGAAACCTGTCACTGAATTCTCTTGAATCCTTTGACTTTTGAGCCCTCTGGTATAACGGTCTATTAACCATCATAAATAAATAAAACTGAGGCATATGGTTATGCAGAAAAGTAAGAACAAACTAAAGGGCATGTGGCCGAAGAGCTGGTTGAAGGGGCTGTGGGGGGCTGGGGACCTGGCTCCCAGGCCCAAGGGGGCGCGGACACGGGGCTGCCACCCAGAGTGGGCCCGAGGAGCCGGGCAGGACGCCGCCTCACCGCTGCTGGTCTCCTGCGGTGTGGCGTCCACAACCTGCCACCCGGTGAAGCCCGAGGGCAGGTCCGGCCTCTTCATCCAGCAGTCGTTCCACACGTGGAAGTTCCTGCACAGACACGAGTGGGGGGGCTGAGTCTGAGCAGCCCGTCTGGGCCCCTGGACCCCCAGAAGCCAGGTCGCAGGTCACTGTTCCTGGCAGGGAGGAGCGGCCTGGCCCGGCCCAGCCCAGCCCAGCCCCGGCCTCACCAGACAGAGTCATGGTTCAGGTGCTCTAGAGGTTTCATGTTCTCATCGAAGTAGATGTCCATGGTGAGGGAAGTGTCCGTGTCATGCGCGGAGTTGAAGTTGGTGACGGTACGGGTGGCCAGGCCCAAGCATCGCAAAACTGCAGAGGAGGCAGGGTTGGGGCTCAGGGCCCAGGGCCAGGGCAGGGGCCGGGGAGAGGTGAGGCATCAGGTGAGGAATGGCAGGGGGAGAAGGGCAACTGGGGTCGCGGAGCTGGGTCAGGGGTCACTAGGGTCAGGAGGCCTTTGGGTCGGGGTGTGTTGGGGGTTAGGGGAAGCCAGGCCACCTGCCTGGCCTTGCCCCTGCCTGTCCCCTTCCTCTCCCCTCCCTTCCCCTAGGCTTCTCCGTGGTTGTTAACATTAATTAATGATAATTAAGGCTAGCCTACCATCCACCCCCTCCTGCCCCTGTGCTAGAGCAACAACTGGGCCTGGCTCGTGAAGGCGGAGCCTGGCTTCCCTCCCTCCTCCTGCAGGGCCCAGGCCACCCCTGTCCCAGTCCCTCCACTACCTGTGGTAGTCACACCGGCGAAGACCCAGCACTGGCCATAAGGGACAGAATAGCCCGTGCGTAGGTAGCTGAGCAGGATCTCCACGCTGCCCACCCACGCTGATGGGTTGGTGCCTCGGGAGTAATCACCAGACCAGTTCCCAATCAGGACCCCATTGTCATCCAAGGAGTTCACCTGTCCAGGCCAGGATGGGATGTGAGGAGTCGGAGGAGCGGCTCAGGACCTGCCTTGTGCTCACCAGCCCAGCCCCTGGCCCTGCAACCTCCCCCAACCCTAAATTTCTCAGGATCTAGCCGGGTCCCGCCCAGCCCTCCCGGAGCCATCTGCCCTCCCAGCCCTGGTCTGACACAGGAATGTGTATCCTGGGTGTGCCAAGTGTTGGGTTTGGCCCTACATTCCGTAAGAGCTGGGACAGGAGCCAAGAGGGTGGGGTGGGGGGCAGGCAAGGGAGAGAAGAGGAGTGAGACCCCTCTCCACTATACCCTTTGCAAGGGCAGGTCAGGGCTGGGGGTCCTGGAGGAACCAGAAAGGCCAGAAGTGGGCAGCAAGGGGGGCAGCAGGCAGACACTCAGCAGGGCTCAGAGCCATGAGGGTGCTCACCATGGCAGAGATGACCCGGGAGACGCTGACTGGGTCCCCACGGCCGCCATATGGCATGCCCCGCCGGTCCAGGATGTACAGGCAGGCATCCAGCACCCCATGGTCAAACTGCAAGGAGGGAGGGCAGAGGTGACCGCAGCCCACTGTGGCCAAGCTGGACCCCTTGGCCAGTGTCTTCTCTCCCACCAAACCCCACCTGCCTCCGGTGCCCCTGAGTGCGTTTGGCCTCGGCCAGCTGTACCTGGCCATAGTTCCACGTCCGTTCGCCAATCTGTGCTTCGGTCCCATAGTAAATTCTCCCAGACTCATTAAGCACATACTCCTGCCGCCAGTCCTCGCGTTCCACATACACCATGTCCTCTGCATCCCAAAATACACATACCTGGTTTACTCCAGCCCTTTCTCTGGGCCCCGCCTCCTGCCCCTGGGCAAATTCTGCAGGGCTCATGTCCACAGAGGAAGAACAGGGACACCACTAGCCTAAAAACACTGTTCCCAGGAAGGACAGAGGGAATAATATGTCAGAGACGATGGGAGGAGGGTGACTGTAACCAGGGTGCTTCACCAGGAGAGGTGAGGCTGTGTGACCTTGAGGGGGTAACCTTTTGACCTAGGAACTAGATCCCCTCACCTGGGCAACGGGGAGGCTGGGGCTGGCTTCTCCTGGGGATCCTGGCTAGGTCCTAGGAGAGGAAGCCTGACTTGCCTCTTTTCTTGTCTATCCCCTGCTCCGGCTCCAGCAGGCTCACCTGAGCACCAGGGGTTGAAGAGGATGTATATCTCATTGCTGGGGTCGAAGGGCAACAGGAACTCGCCAGCCTCCGAGTGTGTGCGAACTGTGAACTGAAACTTGCCGATGATGGCACTGGGGGAGGTGTGGACGCGTAGGTTCAGGTTCTGCCCACTGGACTTGGTCACCTGGGCCTTCCAGCCGCCGCTGCCCCCTTTGCCCACTGGGATGATCACATGGGTGCCCTTGCCCACTTCGGGGTTGTTTCCTGGAACGGGAAAGCAGTCATTAGTCGGACAGCCTCCCCGAGGCAGGGGGACGGAGCCTTAGACTTCTCTTGGCCCCACCCAGAGCGTGTATGAGCCAGCGTGTGTGTATCCCTGAGTTGGGCCACCACCTTCCAGACTGAGAGCAGCTCCGTCCCCGCCCGATGCTTGCCCACATGCCAAGGCAGAGGCCTAGTCCAACATCCCAAACCTGTTCTCCTGACACTGAACTCAGAGGTGGGCAGGAGAGACCAGGCCGCCGTCACCATCCGCCTGTCTGACTGTCCCAGCCCTGCTTGGGTCCGGGTGCCCCACCGGGCGTGATGGCAGTCCGGGCCTGGAAGGCCAACCCTGCCTGATCCCTCAGGCTGCCACTTGGAGAGCCCAGGGAATCCCTGGTGGAGGTGGTGGGGCACTTGGGCAATGAGAGGTGGGGTGGACAAGGTCAAGGCCTAATCAAAGGGTATGAGGAGTCTCCCGCCCCCGGCAGCAGGGTAATCACCAGCCTGCACAGTCCATGGCCACCAAGCAACGCGGTAAGGGAGGCGCCTGCCCCGGGTCACGGAGACCGAGGAAACACAGAGACAGACCTGGACGGAGACCTGGGCAGAGACCTGGGCAGAGGGAGACGGCCACACCCTGCACAAGGAGGGCAGACCCAGAAAGACACGGAGGCAGCAGCACCACAGCGAACACCCGAAGAGAAAGAATAGAAAGAGGTGCCCCCGAAGGCTCGAAGTGGGTGAGCTCAGGAGAATGGGGACACCAAGACTGTCCCTGCGACACACCCCTAGGGACACACACTGCCAGGTGCCTCATCTGGCAGAGGCCGAGGAATCAGATGAGGGAGGCGCCCAAAGACACCCCTCTGACCCTAATCCCACGGCAGGGAGGCCAGCTGGCCAGGCCCCCCACCCACGTTTCCGCCCTCCCCACCACAGTCCCCACTGACCAATGTGCAGTTCCAGGGTGATACGGTCAGAGGACTCATAGGGCCGAGACAGGAAGAGGACCATGTGGAAAGGCTGCCCGCGGCGCAGGATCAGCTCGTCGTACTCGAACTCGTCTGTGTGGTGCTCTCGGCGGTTCTGGTCCGAGCGTGAACTCAGCAGGTCCACCCCGGTCACCACCAGCATGCCCTCTGCAGAGTCACAGCTTCTGGTCAGCGGAGCCCCATGGGGAGCCCAGGGCTCCATCATTAGCCTCCCAGGCCCCCAGAGATGCCAGGATGAGCCTCAGTCCCCATTAAGGCCTTTTGGCTCTCAGCTAGATGGACAGGCCAGTCTCACCTCGGATCACCCCGTCTCCAGCTGCGTTCACGCCGCTGCCCCGGGAGATAGGTCGGCGGGAACCTGAGCTCCGGGAGTCGGGTCTTCTTCGGCCCCCAGAACTGGACCCTCCACCTCCGCGGGGCTCCCAGTCGTCATCTGCCCCACTCCGGCAGGAGCAGCAGCCACAGCAGCGAGCCCAGAAGGAGCGGCCCCCTCTGCGTGACCGCGTGTCTGGCTCCGGCTCTGGGGACGGTGTGGCGGGGGGCTGCCAGGGGCTCCCGCCCCAGCGGCCCACGTCTGGACGAGGACTTCCCATCATGTCTGTGTGGAAGAGGCAGGGAGACTCCGCTCACCCTCTCAGGAGTCCTTTACCCAAGACACCCCAGCCAGCTCAGCCAGGAAACCTCCACTCGCAGCTGAACGGGGCTCAGCCAGATGACAGAGATGATCTTATCTTGAACCACAGATTGCCCCAGACCCGTCCAGAGGCACTCCCTGAAGACTCCTCTCGGACTTCCCTAGAGAAACTTCCCACATTGCAGGGGAGTCTCCCCTTCTCACCCCCACACAGGCATCCACCACACCAGACACCCCCCAAGAAACCTGCCCTAGGACCCATCCCAGGAAATGCGTGGACGCTTGTCACAGTCTTAAGACCCAGCTGCACAGACCAACCCCTGTCCTGATCCCACCACCTACCGCTCCTTGGTCTACACAGTGGCCAGCCGGCTGACCACTTTTAGGACCCAGTTCTTAGCAGAGATCCCCCACCCAAGGCTCCTTGCAGACGGCAGGCAGGTGACCCCCCACTTCTGGTCAAACCCCCTCGCACAGCACAGCCTCCGAGAGGGGCAGCTAGCTGTACCCCAGCCCGCACTCCCCCGCAGAGTCCCAGCACAGGGGCAGCTTTGCTGGCCCCGCAGGTTGGAGCTGGGCCACACCCCAGCTTGCAGGGGCCAAATCTGAGGGTGCGCGGCTCCCAGACAGCGTCGTGGGGCCCAGCAGCCCAGAGCCGGTCGGGGCCCCTCACCTGGTGGCGGTGCCGGCGACGGCAGCTCTGGGTCGTGCAGTCAGGGTGGAACAGGTTAGGACTGATGGGACAGGACGGACGCCCTGGACGCCGCCGCACAAGTGGAAGGTGTGGGGCTGGCGGGCAAGTGATTTATGAGGGGGGAGGGCGGGGCTGCTGCTGAGCAAGGGAAGCTTGGTTGCTGCAACCCCGTCGGGGAAAGAGGCCCAGCCCCCTGGGGCTGTCTCTGAGGTTAGGGAGGGAAATGAGGCCCCGCTGCAACCTCTTTTCCCTTTCGAGGAACCGAGGAACCTTGGAAACGGGATGATGTGGCTGGGGCTAGGGCTTGGCAGGGCGTGGGGTAGGGGTGGCGTCGGAGTCTCTCGGGGCTGAAGTGGAAGGCTTTGTTGGGACCGCCACACCAGGCTGACCCCTGCCAGACTGCATACTTAAGGAGTCCCTTCTCCAGAGGGCAGTGGGGCAGGGAGCCCCTTTCACCAGCACCCCCATCCAGCTGACCCCCTGCTGTCAAGCTCAGGCTGCTTGCCTGTGGCCTCAGGCCCCTGTGGAGAAGCTCCCGTGCAGCCCAGTCAGGCTCAGCTCTGTGACGCTGGGTGGTCCTGGCCCTGGTCCTGCCCAGGGAGTCCCTTGGTCCCAAGGTGCAGACTGCTGACATCAGCAGCCCGGCCCTCAGACTGGCTCCACCAGCCAGCCCAGAACTTGTGGGCTCTGCCAGATCCTCTGACCCCCCCACCCATGTGCCCCTCCTCTTCCTGCAGCTGCTCCACAGCCCCTGGCAGAGGTGAGCAGCCCCCAGCTTCCCGTATCCCTCCAAGTTTGGGATTGGGGGGCGTGGTTAGAGTAGGGGCAATCCCGGCCCCAGGGAGTTTGGGGGAAGCTGAGGCCTTACTCTGAGGCTTAGGTTGGAACTGGGGCCCCCGCCCCTCCTCACCGAGAGGAGTGTCTGGTCAAGCGGGAGTCCTGGGTTCTCCAACCCTGAACTCTTCCTGGGAATCCTGACTAACCGGCTCCAGGCACCTGCCCTGCATGCATCCCAACCCCACCTTGGCGCAGGGGAAACACCCGCTGCTGCTCTGGAGCGAGAGCAGCAAGGTGGAGGCCAGTCATCTTTACAAAGGCTTTCCTGGGAGGTCTGCAGGAAGGCTGGGCCTTCTCTTGGGCCTCTCTCCTCCATCCCACTGGTGTCCCACTGGCCACCGAACAGAAAGCAGTGAAAACAGGGTTGGCAAGAAGAGACAAGGAAGCCGACGGAGGAGAGGTGGGGTCTGATGATGCCTCGGGCAGGGAGGTGCCTCGGGGAGTGTGGCAGAGGCAGGAAGCTCTCCACACTCACGCTGACCTTTTCCGGCCCACCTCCAAGGCTCAGCCCTGCAAGGGGGTCTGCCCCAACCTCCAACACTTTCAGACAACCCACCAGTGGGAATTAAAATCCCAGGCAGATATGAGGGAGGTCAGCCAAAGGGCTTCATTGAGGGGCTGTCTGTGCATCGCTACGGACACAGAAAGGGGCCAGACCCTGAAGAGCTGGATGTGTGTGAGCAAACACAGGCCCAGGAAGATTCCCAGGAAACCAGAAAAATGCCTGTCGAACTCTCTCCCTTTGGTTTCAATCTTTTTCTCCCCTCGCCCAGCCAGGTTTGACTCAGTGGCCTAACCTGAGCCACTCCCTTTTCCCCTCCAAGGAGGCTCCAGCGCCTCAGGGCTTTCAGGCAGGACAAGGGTGTGTGTGTGAGCACAAATGTGCAAGGGTCCCACGTGCACAAGGGCGTGTGCGGTGGGGGTCACCATGAAAGCAGACACCCGATTCAGGGAGTGAGGCAGGGCTCTGTTCAATTGTTCCTCATTCACACAGAAGGAGTCTGGAATCCTGGAGCAACCTGTGCAGAGCTCTGGCTCTAGGACTTGAGCTCAGCAATCCTGGGCGTGTCTTACCAAGTCTCTTCATCAATACAGTGAGTGGGCCTAGTCATCTCACGCCTGAGAGCTTATGATGAACGAATGGGATCAAGTGTTTCAAAGAGCTCTTCAACTGCATAATGCTATTCATGGGGAAGGACACTGTTGTTCTAAGAGGGTAGAGCAAGGGTGCCCGCACCTCCTCCTCCGGGAAACAGCCTTCTTGGCTGTGGTGACTGAGAGCCAGGGCTCCTGGGCAGAGGGCATCTGGAAGGTGCAGGGGTCATGGGAGAAACCTTTAGGAGCCCTTCCGGTTGGAGACATAGCTGCTTTGTAGCCCAGACCCAACTGTTACCTGATCCCAAACTGGATCCCAGCCTGGAATCCAGACCCAGCTCCAGACCACCCAAGCAGAAGGTAAACTTGAATCTAGCCTTCACCCTGATTCTGCCCAGATGCTGAGGCTTTGATTCTCCGTGACAGGGAATAGCAGGACTGAGCATAAAATAAAGGAAACGGTGGGCCAACACACCTAACTCTCTCCCTCCCTTTTCCAGAAAGGCGGCAGTAGTAATGGTGACGATAGTGATGGCAGCAGCAGCAGCCGCTTAGCAGCCTTAGCGGCTTCCCCATTCTTTATTCAGTCGCATAAGTTAGAGGGCAGGATGGGGGCAGGGTCTCTTAGGTGAGGATGCTGCTGACTGAAGGGAGCAGCTCGGCCAGGTGTTCCGAGGTGCCCACAGTTTGGCACAGGGGGTTGCCCTGCAGGTTGAGGAGCACTAGCTTGGGGCAGGAGGCAACAGGTTGGAGTGCTGCAGGCTGCTGGAGACCTTAGGCAGGAGAGTCAAGGAAAGGTTGGCCGGTTGCCCCAGACCTCGTCTGCTCCCATGCACTCATCACTGTTTTCACCGGTGGGCTGGCTGGTGGGCACCCTGCACGCTTCCCTAGAGGGAGTAAGGCTCTAGGCAGGGACTGCAAACACCTGCCCACAAGGGCCAGGCAGGAAGCACAGTGAGCAGGCTGGGTTGGTGCTAGATGTGGTGGAGACTGTGGCCAAGAAGAAGGCTAGCCATGGCTAGAGGCATCCACGACTCAGCAGTGACCAAAGACTGCTGAGTGAAAACGCAGGCCAGCCCGGGCTGGTGTGGCTCAGTGGACTGAGTGTGCAGGCCTGCGAACGGAAAGGCTGCCAGTCTGATTCCCAGTCAGGGCACACGCCTGGGTTGTGGGCCAGGTCCCAAGTTGGGCGAGGGGGTGGAGCTGGGGGATGTGCGAGGCAATTAATCAAACAGAGCAATACGTCTCTCACACGCCGATGTTTCTCTCCCTCTCTCCCTCCCTTCCTGTCTCTCTAAAGATAAAGAAATAAAATCTTTAAAAGGAAGGAAAACAAAGAAAATACAGACCAAGGTTGCTTTAACTTAAAATCTTTAAGAGGAATCAGAATTCCAAATTTTTAAAATATGAAACTTCCTGACTTTTAAAATACTACCCGACACCCGAGCCCATCTGCAGGCTGCCCGTTTGTGAACGCTGGCTTGAGGCAATGGCTTGGCCCCTCAGAACTGCACAGTGCAAGTCCAGGACAGCCCCACACAGCCCCTGTCCTCAGCTTAGACTGTCAGGGCTCCCTCCCCATCCCTCTTCGGGGGGCACCCCCTGCTTGCTGTCCGTCCTTTCCCAGTGTGGCGCCTTACCCTACCCATGGTCTAAAAGGCACCCAGAAGGAAGGATACGGTTGTTGCACAGTAAGAGCTCCTGTAGCCGCGGCAGGTTAGTCACACCGTCCAGGGACTCTATGGCATTATTGCTGGCCTGCAGTACCTGAGGAGCAGGCAGGGTAGGGAAGACAAGGTGGGCGGGCGGCTGTCAGCCTGAGACTGGTGCAAGCAACTGGGGCGCCCAGGGTGACCCGCTTACAGTGCATGGGAGGGTTCCTGGGGTCAGGCTGGGTGACGAAAAGGGGAAGACAGGGGTGGTCTGCAGTGGCTGGGAGGACCTGGGCATCTCTTTGTAGGGTGGGCAGGCTTCTGAGGTAGAAGAAGGGAAAAAGGACCACCCAGGACACTGATGGAGGAGTGCACGTTTTACCTCAAGGCAGCGCAGGGCAGCCAGGGCAGGGGGCAGGGCTCGGAGGCGATTGTGCGACAGGTCGAGATGAGTGACCAAGAGCAGCTGTTCCAGATGGCAGAGTACCGTCAGGTCCTGAGGAGGGAATGGGACACCCGACGGGGCGGGGCCTCAGCCATCATTTCTCAGGCACTTGCCCTCTGTGCCCCACACAGGCCCTTGGGGCCCCCAAATTAGGAGAGGGTGGGGCAGGCGGGAAGCTTACTTTACAACCCACCATAGTACAGGCTACAAGTCAAGGACATGGGACAGACAGGAGTGCTGTGGGCGAGGTGGCCAGTGGAGTGGGAGCAGGCACAGGGGACAGAGGAGGGCGCTGGGGGAAACATGGACACTGGCAGGAGGGCCCTGGTGAGTCTGGACGGCCGGATGCTGGGAGCAGAGGTGGACTGCAGTGACGGGGTAAAACTGATGTGTTGGGAAGGACTACAAGCAGAGGAAAAACAGAGTCTGGGAAGTTTGTCAGGAATCTCTGGGAACTACTCAGGCTTCAGGTGTTGGCCTGCTCCAAAGAACAGAGGAAAAAGTGTCCAGAAAGGCACCTGAGACTGAAGGCGAGGCCGGACAGACCAGGAAACAAACAGAAAAGCCGGCCAGGCCATGAGGAAGGGTGGGCCGGCGGGATGAGGGCCCAGGGAAGGCAACATGCAGTCTGTACCTTGTGACTCAGGTACAGCACACGGACCTCCGCATACTCCATCTTGAGCACGCTGTTCTCCAGTAAGAACTTGCTACGCAGGTCATCCAGGTATGCTGCCCGCATTGGGTCCACCGCCTGGCGGGGACAAGGTCGGTAAGGAATCTGTGTCAGCCGCCTTCCTCCTGCCCACAGGGCCTCCCCTTCATCTGTTCCTGCAGGCCCAGCTTGCCTTGAGTGTCTGGAAGTACTGCAGTGTCTCCTTCTCATACAGGAGGGGGTCCAGCGCCCGCATCAGCAGGATGATGGTGAGCAGGCACCCTGCGAAGAGGGTGGGAAGAGGCCCCTCCTCTGCTCCCATATTCTTGAGACCCTTCCTATTCCCCGTCCCCCCCAACACACAGAGAAAGGGGCCTCCTGAGAGAAGTAGGGGAATAGGGCCTCA